TTAACCCTAACGCGAAGACAAGCAATGGGCGGAGCTTCCAAGAGGGTTGGACTTCACGAATTAAGTGAGGGAGTGTTTTAATTGGACAAAATGCCCAGGAAAATTGGTTAAAAATTACATTTCCTCTTCCATTTCACGATTTCCCGCACAAATAAATATTGAACGAGAATATTTAAATCAAGTGCTAATCTTCAGTCGGAAAAGAATACTCTGAACACAAGTGGAAAGAGGTCCTCCTTCAGAAAAATAATCCGCAAAATGTGATGAATTTTTATTACATTCTTCTCCACAAGATTGTAATTTGTGATATTCATTGGCGGTGCTTCAGACTCTCTCTCTCTCGCCGTCTGTTTCCTTCGCATCTCCATTGTCTTGCACTTGAATTTTTTACATTGGCATTCAGTCCTGGGGGTGGCGGATTACTCGCCTACTCGTGGTGACACCGTGCAATGAGATTCTTGGCTCAATTCGCCGTTTCGCATTTTCACCCATTTCCACCCCGCCGCCCGTCTGTCCGGATGCTACCGAAGCTCGGGCCAAAAGCTGCGATTATGGTGGATTTTGGGGTTGACGGAGGGACGCGCGGCTTCCGGCGCCCCGGTGGGCGACCCCGTGCAGACAGAGGGCGGAGGCGCTTTGCATGCGCGAATAGGTGAGGGTTCGGGTAATAGCCGTGCCGCGGAGAGCGATTGATGTGGGGCGAGTTGGAAAAAGAGGCGAAATTGCTTTGTTTGTTTATGCAGGTGGAAAGTCCAAAGCGATTTCTCGGGAAATTGATATTGCCGGCCTTTTGCTTTTCCATTCCTTTCTACACTGGCAATCTCATCCGACCTCACCGCACACACCGTTCCTATCCAGAGCGCCAAACTATAGTTTCATCCGCTTTATACCTCTCGTTAGCCCCGTACAAATATTCTCTCCTCATAATTCCCTAAAATTTCCACAACTCTCCTCGGGAGCATTTTCACGTATTTGCCGCCCATGGCATGATTTAGACGGGGCAATTTCGGGGCTCCATGGGAAAAAGTTTAAATTCCACGTGCAAGATATTGCCTCAAGGCACCACCCACTGTTGTTTCGGGCCGAATGAGAATGATTGCCTGTGAATAATGAAACTAAAACGTGGCGGATATTTCTGAAATTTCAACCCATGAATTCTTCTAATCGCCATTTGTGTGCTTCTGCGGCAAATTCGTGAAATAACAAGGAATTATTAACGGATCATTCTCATATTTCAACCCCCTCCTGAGAATGATGCTTCCCTGCGTTAAGCTTTAAATTGAATTTTAATGAAAGCCGAGGATGATTGATTCAAATAAGGTTGTACACTGTGAGAAAGCAGCGCCACTTTCTCATGTCTTCACCCAAGTTTGACCTCCTGAGTTTGTAGTGTGCAAAATGGATGATCTGTGGCTGAGGGAGAACCGAAGTGTGGGCATATTTCTTGGGGAGTCTTGTGCCGATAACGTGCAAATTCTTCCCATATTTCTCACTCCCAGAGACCGTAGGACAAAATAAACATTTCGCCCTTAATGCTAACGACACTGCTCAGGCACATAGTGTTCGGATGCATTCTGCAAACTTTGCCCAGCGGCACTGAAGCCATTCTTGTGGCAGTTAAGTGTCGACGATAGTTTGCTGTTTTCCTTCACCCGCAAGCAAAAGCATCGAAACTTGGCCTCTGAGCGTGCGAGAGGTGAAACCAGAAACATTTATTATCCCGACGTGATATTGAGGTGAGAGTTGAAATGTGTGTCTCAACGTAATCATCAAGTGGACCACTCTTGAGAGTTCCGAGGGCAGGCATTGACTATGGCTGAGGGTTAAGGAGATCATCGCCCAGAGCTTGCCGAAGCAACACGGAATATTTGGGGTGTTTTTGTGAGCAATGGAAGCCTTGGCGGTGGCTTAAATCAACCAGCCATAAATCCAGTCACGTTACGCAAGTATTCGAGAAATCCACAGGCATCTCATCATCAAGCGACCTCGCCTCTATGACCGTTAATACAAATATCTCCAGAATGCTACAAGCGTTATGCAGACGTTCATAAACAGTGAATTCAAATGAGGACAGCCACACATAATTCGGCACTATTACACTAGGACAAATCTTCAGAATACTCCCGATAACAAGTTGACTCGTGCTGTCCACGAAACATCTGTGGATTTCATGTGCCAAATTGTCGTCTTGCAAAAAATTCTGTTCTAAAGGGAGTAAAGAAAACCTTACAAGTAACCATCAAACAAAAACACATCAAGCGCGAAAAATACAAAAGAATGATTTTGGACAAAGTGGATAAAATGTCATACGTGTCTTAAGTAACGTTATGGACGTGTCCATTGGAGAATGTACATTTGTCGTTTTCATGCGTTATCGGTTCCTTTTGATCTTATCGATTTAATAGAAAAATTACCCCAATAACCCTCACAGTTAATGCTCACAGTGTACGAGGTTCTCATCCACTCGAGTGAGTTCAATGGTAACAATTGTCCCGCGAGACAGCAAAGAGATTGTATAGAATTATTGGGGATGAGTATATCTGAGGGACCAGCAGAAATATGGAAATTAATTGCAATATTTTATATTTCATGTGTGACAACGTGTACCATTTTCACGCGCCGGCAAATTGGTATTGTGTGACATGTTCAAAATTGTTTTCACCACGAAACCCGTGTTGGGGCCTTCTTTCCACACACTGCAAAATCTTCCATCACTGTCACGAGTGTGAAATGTAATTCAGAAAACTCTCTGTGTGCATGGCCACAGATAAGACTGTGAAATTTATTTTCCTTTACCACTGATTACGGGTTGATTTTCAACTCATGCGATATAATGCAAACGTTTCCCATTTCCTCCGACCTGATGGGGTTAATATTGAAAAATGGCTGTATCTGTTCGCGAGTGAATTCACTCGGTGTGTTATTGCACAATCTGTGAGTTAAATTGCAAATATTCCTGCAGTGATTCCCGTGAATAACCTTTGAAGGAAAGGTGCAGCAGAAGGCTCGAGTTAATTAATCCTGTATTGCATTAATTCTCGCCCTGAGAGGGAAACTTAATGGCACAAGCTGCAGATTAACTTGCCTTTCATGTCGCACATCCTTCAGATGATATTAAAATGTGCTTGTTTATTTAGCCTACAGCTGCTTCAATGGCACTTTTTCATATCACTTAATCTCCTAAAGAATTTCACCTTTCATACAGAATCTCACGTAATTTATCGCGCACTTGGCAAGCGAGCTTTCAATTTAACAAGAATGGGCTCCGGGGCTGGTACATTAAATTAGCTATTTGGGGATCATTCTGCCGAGAACACAGTGATTGTCGGAAGCGATATAAAGAAGGGGTTATCTTGGGGTGGATGTAAAAGAAATTTCTGGGTGAAGAAGTGCTTCATATAAAATTTTATTTGTTTGCTATCAAAGCTGGAGAATAAAATTGAAAGTCTAAACACCAGTTTCTTGTATAAAATAACCATATCATCTCATTATTTTCCTTTTCTCATCTACGCACGTTCACATGAGGATGCGGGGGCCCCTCGTTCGCCACGAAGAATCAGGGAGGAATCCCTCTTTTGCGCTGGCAAGGAAAGCCTCGAGGGGCTGATGTCAAATTTTCTGCCACCCGTGAGAAACCTTTTCATTCCCCGTGCCCATGAAATTGATGGCGGAGCAGAGCGAGAAGGCGTGCAGAATTCTCAAGGATTTTCGATTTTCCTCCCATGGCGAAAGGAGGAAAGATAAACATTAATGATGAATAATTTGAAATTGATATTGATGAGTATTCTATATCTGTATGGCGTACACCAAGTTCAAAAGTATACACGCTTATTTATTTTGTTTCTTGAGCTCCTTTGACGATACTACACTGAGAGGAATTCAGTCACTCGTTAAATACTTATGCAAACTGACACAGAAAGACTTCTGAACTTCGCTTTATCTCAGTGTCTTTTGATATTTCCTCTGTGAATCTTCAATGAGATGGAATTTTCAGGGAAAAAAAATATGCTGAATGATTGATTTAACCTGTCACTCTTTTCACCCACACAACACTTTCTAGGAAATTGACTCACAAATCCCAAGAGTGAGATAAATTTCATCTGCAAGTAACATTTTACAGCGTATCGCATAGCGTTCAGAAAGTGATTAAATTCCACCCATGACGCACCATTGTTGACAATCCTCAACAAAATTCTATATGAAATAAAATCATGTAATGCAAAATGCAACATGATGAGAGTGAAGTTTTATGATGTGAGCGAATATTTCAGAACTTTAACTCTCGCAACTGGCTAAATTGTATAGAAATTTTCACATACGAATAATGCATTACTGCATAGCAAATTGTAAATGCTTGTATTCCGAGTATTTCTCTATGCACATAACATACATAACTCAAGTTGAAAATTAACACTGAAGTGAAAGAATTCAAATGGAAACGTGAAATTCCATAAAATTTCTTCATCATTCACAAAATTGTACAAAACATTTCCATTTGGATCAAATTCATTTCTGACTCTATACAAACTATATTGCAATTTCTACTAAATGTAGTTATGAATGGACCGAAGTGGAAATCGATTGATCTTCTGCATTTATGAATGTGAAATAGAGTTTTAATTAATTTTCACCCATAACATATTCTATTGCTGTGCTCCAAACCATTTCTCAGATCTCAATAAAGTTGGAAGACATGGAATTGTCATTGAGACAATATTACATCGTTTCCCCATTCCAACACCCTAAATCACCATAGCGATGCTCAACCGAATATTATATTCATCAAAATACGCAATGCAACTATTCAGATGGATAAATTCGAATGACAGAGTATGAAAAGTCATATTTTCTGCTCTGTGGAATGCATAAAACCGAAATTGCAATGACTCTGATTAAATTTTGATCCATTTTTCACTATATTAACAACACATTCAACCTTAGAAATTTACAACTTTGCTCTCCAACATTTATTTCATGCACCCCTCTTTTCTCCCTTGCAGTTAAGACTGTTGATGTTCAGGGAGTGGAAGGAAATCGTGTCTCCTTGCCATGTCCTCTGGCGGGACCTTCGAGGGACAAAGTTTATATGGTGCTGTGGTTTAGAGACGACGTCGGAATTCCACTGTACAGGTAATTAAAGATGGTGTCATACGTTGAATATGTTGTCAAGACTCTCAGATAATCCGGGTGAGAAGTGCAGGACTTAGATTAGCAACTTCGGGTCCTGCATGCATCATAGAATTGAGGGCCTGCAACTTGGAAATATCTCTCACTGCTAATGGGTTTATTGAAGTGAAGCTCAACAGTGAAACTTAGAGGGAATCTTGGGATTAGGAACAATGGCTTAATACCCAACTTAATATATCATATATAATGTATGCTCCTTTCAAACAGGCGGGAAAAAATCCCGAATGTAATTTTGTAATTGAGGCGGGGAGAAATGAATGCCATTAGAATTCAAATCACGAAATTTAATTTTCTCTTCCTATTCGCAGAGAGAGAGAAAAAAATATATAATTTGCGAGAGACGAATAGAGTGATAAAATTTATTGTTCAATTTTTCACTTTGAATTGTGCACTTGATGTCTCATTTCTTAGTCGGCGATTGTGTATGTTGGTGTGTGGCTGTCATAAATATGGGGAAAAATGTTTCGGAGATGTGTGCCGAAGGAGTGGAGCAAATGAAATGCCGCGTATTCACCGCCAAATTACACCAATTTACACCCTCTTCATCCACATATCGCCCGTACTTTTGTGCCGCCTTTCAAAACATCTCTCCTGGCATCATCAAGCATTTCAGCCCCATAACTTTAACAAGCTCGGCCATTTGTCAAACTCGGTGAATCTATACATGGACTCAGGCATGTACAATTTATAAATATTACCCCACTCAGTGACATATTCAGGATGCTGTGCGGAGCTGAGAAGGCGTGTCGCTGGAGACTTTGGCAAATAAACATCGACGGCACGTGCCGAGCGCCTGGGAAAAAATATGAATTGACAATTTTATGCCCTCTCGACATTGTGCAATTCCCTAATGGACCATGAAAGAATCATTCACTGGCACTCGGATCCCGGTGATCATGTTGATGCAACTGTGACACCCACCGTGTGTGATGTATATCGAAATTTGTCACTTGTAACCCAGAAAAATCAATCCATTAGTGACATTGGGCTATTTAGCCCGGCCATGTGAGCTCTGTAGGTGATTTCACAACCACGAATATCTCCATTTGCAGCTTCGACGTGAGAGGTGTGTCGCTGTCGAAGGGCCGTCACTGGTCATCGCCGGCAATATTCGGTCCGCGCGCCAAATTCAATGCAAACGCCGACCCAGCCACTCTGGATATTGACGTACGTATTATTTGCAATATGTCAATTTTTCCGCCTTATCGCACATGTCACGAATTGCTATCCCCAAAGGGGATTACATTCGGGGCAAAAAATATCCCCCAGTGTGTATAACCATCCCGAAAATGGGTAATATCGCAAAATTTCAGGACATCAAACGTCACGATCAGGGTGTTTACCGGTGTCGAGTAGATTTCCGCAGCAGTCAAACGCAGAGCTTCCGCTACAACCTCAGTATAATCAGTAAGTACATGCTTTATCTGGCATAAAAGATTATAATGGCAACATGGGAGTATATTGTTCATGTCAATGTGAGAAAGGGTGCCCAAAATCCCCTCTTCCTCTTCGGAATGTAGTGCTTTGTCGGGGAAAAAATGCCATGTTTTGCAGGAGATTGTCATATTTCTTTCGCCATATTTTCACTACTTTGCAGTACAAATTTCTCAAATATGGCAAAAGTTGCCGCGAGAAATTCCTCCTGAAGACATTTTGCATAGCAAATATCACTTTTCATATGTATGTTGCATCGCGAGGGGCACTTCAGATTGAGAGGAAAATGTCTATTTTTCTTGCGAGGGAATATTTAGCGTGAAACGAAGAATGGCGCACCATTTTTAACGTCCTAATAGAAATTAAGCTCGAACTGAAAGCTTTTATGCCCGGCCTCGAAAGTGCAACATTTCGTGCTCACTTCATTTGCTCAATGACAAACCTCTTGACAACACAAAGTGTGGGTGAAGTGTTGCGTGATTCTCGTCACTTTATTTGTGCAATAAAAAGCAAATTTACAATCCATAATTCTAATTATGTACATGAATCTATGAAGAAAATTATATCCAAATATTTAACCAACTCTATACGAATTGGCATGAATTCCTGAGGCGTTTTTGCTCTTTCCCAACTATTCTCCCGATGGAGTAATAGTTGCTTCTTTCGCCAACCTAATCCCGTGCTCCTGTGCCATTTCAGTCCTTCCGGAGCGACCGGTGGTGCTGAATCGGTGGGGCCTGCAGCTCAACGGCACGACACTGGGGCCGCTGGAGGAGCGAGATGACATCATTTTAGTATGTCGAGTTGTGGGTGGTAAGTTTAATTTTTTCCTCTGCTCCACCACTTAAATATTCAAGCTTAATTCAATTGAGACTTAATGGATTTTTTACGCCACATATAAAGCGTCAGGGGGGGTTGTTTGCCTCTAAGACGAGGGTGGCACTTTTATAGGGTTTTATAGTCAGCACTCTAGAGAGTGCAAACTTACGAGGGGCGACATATAGAAAATAAATCGATTTTTAATGTTATTTGTATCCTATACACATCGTCTCGGAGAGGGTATAAAGTGATATTATTTCGCAAGTTAAAAATATCCACTCAAGCAATTCATTGATCTTTTCGAATGACGCGGGATCTCTTTTACGATTACTTTCCATATATACTGATGCGATGCAACTAATTGCTCTCAAATGGGGGTTTCTCATTTAATTAGATATCTCTCACAGTTGCACATGATGAATACTATTCATTTTTTACCCCCAATTTTCTCACAGCATTGTCAAAGGTTAATTTCTCTCTTCCTTATGCTCAAACTCTTCACAAGTCCATTAAGATCAGGTCCTCAGATAGCTTGAGTGACTCCCTTTCTCAAGAGCGCAAGATGCAGTCGCTCATGAATGCCCATCAAGAGATGGGTAGGAGAGCCAGAGGGAAGGGGTGAGTGAGATGTTTTGCGAGTGGGCGAATAGTGTGGAAATTGTGTATGAAAATGTGTCGACAAATGAATTTAAAATTGCAGCATAACAAGCAGCAGTATTTACGATAGTGGAGAAATTCGCAATAAATTCCTGTGTGGCAAGTAGAGATGTTGTGCACTGGATGAATCAAAATCGAACATCATGGGCAAAAATATGCACAGGTTGGGAATTTTCATTTGGCAACATTTTTGCATAGTTTGCATTCTGCAGGAGCTCCGCATTGATGTAACGTAATATAGTGCCATACAGTATTGCTTCGCTCCTTCACTCAAAATACTATATGGAGTATAGCCTGAGCTGGTTGGTATATCGCCCTTATGTCGTATTTTATTGTTATTTGCATTGCATGGCTGAGGCGTACATGTGGGTCCTACAGCTATGTCTCAACCTACGCCGCCTCTCCTATTTGCTCAAAGAATCTTAATATTGATCTGGGCCACAGAGATTGGAGAGCCAGAGAGCGGCCAGAGTATATAGTATTTCATAAATATCTAATGGCCATGTAAGAGGCTTTCACGGATTGCATATTATGGCATACATAATAATGTTTATGTCCATAAATTCCACGTAACATGCACACATTCGGGAATGGGGAGATTCTACATTTTAAATACCACCAGCGCGTCCAAGAGAGGTGTGCAAAATATATTTCATATTTGCGAAATACTACGCTGAAATACCCACGTAAAGCTTTATTTGTGGGTGGGAAAAAGCCCATCGTGGAGAGCATTGGTTGACTATATATAAAATGAAACTTTGTTGAGCGTTGTGCAAGCTTACGGCTTTTAGTTAAATTTTGCAAGAATTCCATTCATTATTCTCATTTTCAGCCAGCATACAAATTCGCCAAAAAATTAAAAGCCCCGACGCAACTCTTAACCCCAGAGTGTTTTCCCATGTTTCAGCGAAAGCGATTCATTATTATTATAAAATACATGTTAGTGAAATTTTGCTCCTTGCAAAATGCACTTCATATCAATTGCGTAACGAAACAAAGTCAATTTTGTCCCCAAAAAAAATATTTTATCATGCTGAATAAAAACTGAAATAAATATTTTCTTATTAATTTTTCGCAGTATTTTAGCGACAGATTAAAAAAACGTTTGGTACATATTTAATTTTTAACTGAAATGTTAAACATTTAGCGGCGCCCTATTAATTACCCATCAGCAGCACTTTTACAAACTATTATTCCAGCAAAATTCATATCATGAAAAATTCATTGCAAATTCACAACGATTTTCCTGCAATTAAAGCTCGATATGACGCGCAATCAAATAGTGTAAATTTTTGATTACACCCTTGAATGAATAAAATCATCGAAAATGCGGAATGTTAAAGAAGAAATACTCAACAGATGATGTGCTTGACCTCTGGCCTTTTTCTCGCTACGAAAATTTATTACACTGTTCTGTTATTTGAGAAAGTCGCTCCCATTAGGTGGGCTTGAGGGAAATTTTCTCGAAAATTATTCAATACTCTTGCGCTGCGGCGAACAAATTGTATTTTCCCCTCTCGCTGCCTCTCTTTTTTACCCACAAGATTTTTCTATTTAGGTTAGTTTAATGGCAGAAATAATTCTTCAGAGTCTGAAAATGAATAACTTTCCTTGTATATTGGAGCTTTGTGTTATAGAGTAATAAAAGCTTTAATGCTCCCACAGCAATATAATGCCTCTCACTCTCCCTTGATACCATTTTTTGCCCGCCACCCCTTCACAACAGTCCAGGAGGAAAATCCAGCTCTGAAATTCCGATTGAAGCCACGTCCCATTTGTTCCATTGCAATTAAATTGATTTCACGCCACAGTGCTTCGTTTCCTTTAATTGATTGATTTCATGATGAGTGTTTTTGCATTTTCCATGTGAGTGGCGTGCGGAGTTGGGGAATTTTGTACAATTCCCATAACTTCATGCCGAAAGCTCTCAACCCAAAAGCCCTCAGACCCGCTCCCTTGGCTCCTGATTAAAGGCTAGAAGCTCCAGAACACCAACTGTGGCTGAACACTGAGAGAAATTGTCCGTGGATTTGCCAAAGGCCGCACATTTGGCGAGAAAATAGTAATCACCCACTTGTGATTAATATGTATAAAGTGCGTTTCAATTCATAAAAAACACTTCCTTTGTGCAACAATGAGAATTTCTTCGAGTGCATGCAATCAATTGGCGCAAAGTAATTTTCCCTTTAGCTTTCTAAGCCCTAATGGTGACGTTATTAAGGTAAAAAGTACCATTTATTAGCAAATATCCCACACGACCATTAGGCCAAATGACTCTTAGCACATTCTTTGTTGGTTGCACCGTTCGTGAGGTGCATTTTCCAACTCTTAACGCAATCACAAATTATGGCACAAATTCACCTCTAACGCCACCAACAAAATGTTTGGGTACATTTCATGTGCAATTCTCCTTTCACTCGGTGATAAAAAAGTTTATTTTGACAAATTTGTGAGCGATATACATATAGCTTCGTTGCATGATGGCAAAACTGGTGCGGCAAATAAAATTTATTTTTCTGCAAATACAGTAAAATGTTCAGTGCTAAGAAATAATGTACACAAACTCTCCTCATGCGATGATTTCATGGCAAAGAGCAGCAATCATTAGAGTTTATTTCCCCTTCAGTAGTAATTCCACGATCAGACAGTAATTTGCTGCAACTTCACAGTGGTGATGTGTGTGGATTTAAATGTTTGCGCACATCGTGCACATGGTGAACTTATGAAATTATGCTCAAAAGATATCGCGTAAAAAATTTAGCGAAACATTACCTTGAATATATGTAGAACGTCTGGCGTCACAATAGAATTTAACAGGGGAAAAGTGGTATGGAAAATTTCAATGAAAACATTGGCTTGTTTTCATGTGAAAAATTTAATTCACCACAGCTATTTTGCCCCTCCGAAGCGCTCAACTGTTGACAGGCCAGCGGTGGAAAAATTCTAACATATTCGTTTATTGGATGTTATCAATCAGTTTAACGAGCAGATATGATGAAATAGTGACATTTGTTCCATCATAGAAAGCTTTTCACTATGAAGAGGCTATGAAAAATATCACTCCCTCTCACATTGTGCGATAAATTCACATACAGCCGGAGTACTTTAACACTGGGGAAGTCATCAGTCATAAATAAAAGTATTTATTGTGCAAACAAATGCAATAAATTTTGAGTTTGCAAATCTCATCAGATATAGTGGAAAATGCAAGTGGAGAGAAAAGGGCGTACATTGTTGGGAGAGTATTTCGGACGGGGGGATTATATGGAATTTTACTCAGCAAACAACCATTTCTTTATGCAAATAGACAGTGCTATGCATTATGGTAATATTAATAGTGATATATGAAGAGGAATGAGAACAGTCCCAATTAGCTCTTGTTGTTCATAATACAACACAGGCTCGTATGCAGAGCTGTGAGCAACCACTCGAGGGCGGTGGAGTGAATGTGGTCTCTGCCAGTGTCTCTGGGCCTCGGACCTCTTGGAAATCAATTTCCCATGCACTCCTTCGGGAGGAGCAGCCATTGTGAGGCGGCCGGAGCAATTAGTCTCATCAATCATGGCTCTCAGGGCCATCACACGAGCCAGCCGGATGGCCGTCTCCAAGGTGAATGTGTTAGGTCATCGTAAGCCGTTTGACACACTTTCCCCGAAAATGCAGATGGACTTAGCGATTTGCCGAGGAACATGTGTTTTTCGCCCTCGTGTTGCCTGTGGAATATCCACTCAAGGGCTCTTTCAAAGTGCATATAAATGCACGTTTCGTCATTCAATAATAATAAGGAAGAGTCTGTTGCATAGTTCCCCTAATTATAGACTGAATCCGCCGCATCTGCAAGGGGTGAAATTGGTAAATTACAGGGAATTGAATATATGGTGGAATTATTGATAGTTGCATATTACAAGTCTATATTACTGGATGGGTCCGAAACACAGAGAACAGACAACCAATCAATCACCCCACTGACGGCATGAACACACAATATAAACGCGATATTGATGATGATATAAATCACGGCATTCGTGCAAATGCAAGCTCCTCTGATGATGTCATCGGCAGTGGCATCAAATTGTCATAAATTTGGTCGTGCGATGTCTTGTAAATCAAGGGCACTGAGTCGCGCGAGGACACAAATCAACGAGGGTGACAATTGGGCCATTGCTCAAAGTCTCACGTCTTTGCAGGACGCCCACAGCCTTCCGTTCGGTGGCTCGTGAATGGGATCCTCGTGGACGATCAGTACGAGCAGAATTCTGGGGATGTCATTGAGAATCGCCTCCTCTGGCCAGGAGTTCAGAGAACCGATCTGAATTCCGTCTTCACATGCCAGGCGCTCAACACGAAGCTGGTGGAGGCCAAGGAGCGAAGCTTCGTCCTGGATCTGCTGCGTAAGTACATAACCAATTGTTCCCAGAGAAGGAAACACCTCAAAAGTGCTCGAACTGAAACCTATAAGACATATCAATTTAATACAGAATTAATATCCCTTGGAAATCACAACCCTTTGAGGGTCTTCCTGGGGGTAATTTGACCCTCTTTAAGGAAATCACTCAAAGTGGCAAAATAACCCGAGTGTAATTTTACCAGAAGGTTCACACACTGGAGGGAAACATACAGTCTCTCTCTCTCTCTCTTTGCAATATGCTAAAATTATTTCACTTCATTGCTTGCCACCCACACGGTCTCATGGTGTACATATAGTTTTGTTTATTTAAGTTTGTGCACATGTTGAGTTTTAGGAAAATTTGCAGCCTAAATGTGTCAACATTGAACCTTCTCGCTCGTCTTGTACAACTTCTCTCACACCATCACTTCGTCCTGACACTTTTGTTAATCGCCTTGTCTGCCCGTGAAAGCTCTCTCTTCACTCCCTGATTCTGTACTCGAACTTTGTCGCGCGATTGTATGAGATATTCTCTGCAATTACACACTCTTTTCACACGACACAAAACACTCAATCGTCTGTGAAGTAATTCGTCATTCAGACTACAGTTTCGCAACGAAAAAAACAGTTGACTTTAAAAGCTATGTGGTGTTTCTGTCTGTTTTGCAGTGAAACCACTGTCTGTGAAAATCATAGAGCCAGTCAGTTCATTAGTGGCCGATCGGCGCTATGAAGTCCTTTGTGAGACAGCAGGTTCACGCCCGAATGCCATCATTACGTTCTACAAAGGGAAGCGTCAACTGCGTCGGACAAAGGTATGTTATCCAAAGACAAAATTGCCCAGAGAGAGAGAGCATCAATCAATGCCCTGCCATGGATGTCGCGTCACTAAACAAAATCATATGTACCTTTTTCTGTCCATTCGCTAAAAATAGTACATTATACAATGCACAGAATCCACTCATTTGCAAACAGCGACAACGAAACTGAGCAAATGCACTCTCGTATGGAATTAATTAGGGAAGAGGGCAAAGCACAGTGGCTGAGTGAAGGTGATTTGCTTTTTTCCACCCCCCGCGCCAACCCCTAAAGAGACAAGTGTGGCATTAAAGTTAAACGCGAATCATCAACTATAGGACTTGTAATTTAGCCGGCAGAGCCAAGAGGTTAAATGGACATGGAGATTAATATCCTCAATTAACCCTAAGTGCTGAATCTCAATTATCTTTTCTGTAATTGTATTCAAAACCACGGATCCACTGTCACCACCTCGTGCCTTTTGGCACAACCGACTCTTGCCACCACTCATGAAAACCTCTTAATGAATAACTTGGAGGTTTTGCCAAGCCAGGGATGAGCGATGAAGAAGTAGAAGCATGTACAAGTCCAAAGTGCTTTGAGTACACATAAAATTACATTTCTACTTGACACTGTATCGCAAGGGTGGGAAATTGGCGTAGACTGAATGTTGATGAACAAATTGAGGCTGGGATCATATTTCGAGATGAGAGCATTGCAATTTAGATTTTCCGAGAAAAATACACTGTGGAGTGAATATGCATATCCACTAATCACGATAGCAACAGCAACCAAGTCACTTTTTCCACATTACAGTAATCAAATAATTTACATAAGTCGTCATTCTAACATTTTTTCTCACAACATTAAGTCCTTACAACCACAAAAGCGAGAAATCACTGACGCGATTTGCTAGCCAAGCTGTGTTAAATCATATTTATTGACTAAATAACATTACAGTGTCTATTTTTGGTGGATATTTCAATTCATTCATCAATTTCGTGGGACATTTTTAGAAAAGACAGCGTTGAGAGCAGATTGCTAAATTTAGCGCTGTAATAAACAATGTTGCATACCTTAAAAGTATTTTCTATTGGACAAATTGACAGGATGAAACGCTAAATAATACAACCCGATCGGAGTTGAGTTTCGTACCCGCGGTTGAGGATGATGGCAAGACTCTCACCTGTCGTGCGGAGAACCCAAAAGTGACGGGTTTATTTTTGGAGTCAACGTGGAAACTCAATGTCGTCTGTAAGTATGAAGTTGCTATTTTTATTTGCAACCCCTCGTCCCTCCCCTTCTGGGACAACCTTGCATTTTATTGTGTAAATATTCCATCTTCTTCACCGCTCTGGCGTTCGCCCCATGAATCCGTAATTAAAGATAGGGGTGTCGCGGGCAGAAAGTAAAATATTGTGTAATTAACATGTCTAGCAATGGTCACGAAATTAATTTCCTTGTGCTAACGCTTTTTCCATTCGCTCTTTCCATTTCGCCTCCTTGCGGACTTTGTTTGTTGTGTGCTTCAATTTATGATTATTCATAAGGATTTTCTTGATTGTTTTTTGCTTTTAAATTTCCATCCCCATACATCTTCATGTTTATTTACCTCCTATCACACACAATTCTACGCCCAATTCGAGAATAAATTATTCCCATGGCAAAATAAACAACCCAGCAACACTGAGTGATTAATAATGTGATTTTCGGGGAAAAGTCTGAATATGTACCGCCGCCCAGAGCTTGAGAGTGTCATGAATTTTATCCGATTTATTCACATTCGTGCACAGATGTTGATGCTTAATGAGGAGGAAGTGATAGAAAAGTTTCGTGAACATTTATTTCAAATGTTCTCCATTGCATTGCCATCGTCCTGCCCCAACATTTCCTACCGAACGATAAATTTAGCCGGAAACTTTTTCAGTGCCACAAATAAAAAAAAACCCCGCTCTCTAAATATGCAAAAATTGTCTGCCATGCACTTTGAACTCCAATATGAGAGCGTCTAATACGAAAAATTGCAAAAGTTTTGCTGTTGAGCAATTAAATTTACTACAAGTGCGAGTACTACAAGTGCAAATACTCGCATATTCATTTGACTGACAATGTTGGTCAACTGTTGTTTTCCACTTTTTCCACTTATTTCAGTCGTCGTGGGAATATCTTTTGCTAGATTCAACGTATATATTTTGACATATAATTCTTTGGATGAGCTCAGAAAATCATAACCGATGAAATGAAATTATGGCATTTTGACTCGCAAAGTAGAAATTGGGTATTTATGTACATTATTCATGCAAAAAAGAGCGTCATTAGAGAGACTTTTTTATTGTCTGTCTCACATAAATGATACATGTTAATGGAAAGTGATGCCCAAATCCTCTGAGATCAGGTATAAGAATTTCGGAGGCGAAGAAATGATTTACAAGGTTTCAGAATCACTTTTGTCAGCGAGTTTGGGCGTGGCTTTGGAGTGGGTGGAGCTTTGCGAATTCCCCAGAAAATCCGTACAACGACAAAATGATGGCTTTTCATTTGAAATTGTGCGAAATATATTAAATTTTGCAGTCATACTCGTGAAGATAAAATATTTAATTTTGCTGTCTCGTGCAGATCCACCCATTGTGACGCTGCGCCTGGGATCCACCCTCTCTGCCGAAGACATCAAAGACGGTGAGGATGTTTACTTCGAGTGCCACGTCCAGGCCAATCCTCAGTGGCGGAAACTCTACTGGCTGCATGACGTGAGTGTCAAGGCAGTTTTAATCTTTGCCCCCATGCAATTGAAAGTCTTTCTCACACATGAGAACTTCTGTCATACGCTTCTCACTGCGAGTTCCGTGATATGTTTCACTGAGAGCGTACAAATTAATTATATATGTATTTATCCCAGCTCTAATTAGCCCGACTTGAAATTAATCATGTTTGCGAGAGACTGATGTATTGAGAAAGGCTAGAATGGATGGAAGATTGCGTAAGATAACTGACTGGAAAGCGACACTCGGGGTGCGGCAGAGAAGAGAGCAAGTGGGTGGATTTGGGTGGCAATTTTGATTGTTTCCATTTGAGACAATCCCGGCGCGTCTTAAACTTGTTATTGTTATTCTGTATCCTCGAAGGGTAAATATGTGATGAGATTTTATTTTAATTTAAGTGCTTTTCGGCTTAATAATGTATGTACAATCCACCCATGCAGACACACATTTGTGACAGATACACCAAAATCAAATTTTGCCCTCCCCGAGTGTTATTCCACCACGCGCATTAGATTGTAATTAGATGCTCCAAGTATGAGCTAAAGTTTCAATTTAATTCTAAATTCCCTTCCATGTCACACGACTTCAATCATTTTGATTGACTCACATGCCAATGTCAGGAGATTAATTGTTGCTTGTCTTTTGAAATACTCGAGTCTCGTTTAATTCTTTCTGGAGGCTCCAGTTTCACTTGGAATTTTACGCATTCGCCAAGCTGAAAGTGTCGTAAATATACACAGCGTAGAGTGAAGCTTGAAGGGAGGACAATTCTCTCAGTAGCTCACTTGAGTTTCTTATGGGCGGAGGGAGAGCTTAATTTAGAGAGACATGTATAAACAGGGAGCAATAATAAGAAAATGGTGAGAGATAGATTTGTACAAAAGCTCCTAGTAATCTGTCTGATGCAGTAAACTACATAGATCATATTCCCTTCTATCATCTAGAGAACACTCCTGAATCTTTTGGGGTCGAAGGAGTGAACTAATCAGAAAATTGAGCTTGAAATTAACCCCAAATAAGAGTAGGTGTGACGCACTTCATTTGTGCAATCATTCAGCATGATGCGCAGGGATAATACTGAGCCCTTCCTAGTGAAATTGTCTCAAACCATTTGAAACCACTCAATTGTTCACTTCATCAGTGTGTTCACCTGCAGTCGTGGGAAGACCAGGAATTTTCCACCTCTTCCCTCCACTCATTATAGTGCACTTTGGGAATTTTAGCAAATAAATACCATCGCATCTTGATTAACGTGGGAAAAATCCTCTCAATCAGGGCATCATCCTCACCCACAATGCATCCGCCCGAGTGATAAGATCCAACCAAAGCTTAGTGCTGCAGCGCGTGACGAGGAGCTCGAGTGGTAATTACTCGTGTAGCGCAGTGAACGCCGAGGGCGAGACCGTGAGCAATCAATTATCACTTCGTGTAAAGTGTAAGGGATTGTAAATTAATAATTCACTGTGTGAGATTTCCTATTAACATTTTGTGTACACTTCTGCGTTCAGATGTTCCCGTCTGTGCCACGGACAAAGTCATCATTATCGGAGCATTTCGTGGGGAGAATCTCAATATTGTGTGTGAAGTGGAATCCGATCCGCCACCAAGGTTTGTGATGTTCATTATAGAGTGTCCCGAAATTAGTATAAATGGATTGAATTGCACCATTCCTATTTCATGCTATAAATACACAGATCCTTTCGGTGGAAGTTCAATAATTCAGGCGAAACATTGGACGTCGGCAGAGAGAGACACCATCGAAACGGTTCCATGCGCAGCATTTTGCAGTACACACCAGTAACTGATCAGGTATTTTGAATAATTGATCGGTCGCTTTCGCGCGGGGATTCCCCGTCTGCAGACAAACACCCCGCGGGAATTGCTGACATGCCCTTACACACATGACCCCATTTCCAGGACTACGGAACGCTGTCGTGCTGGGGCCAGAACGAAGTGGGCGCGCAGCAGAATCCCTGCCTCTTCCAGATCGTCCTGGCAGGTTTGTGTCGCAGATTTAAATTCCACGCTCATTTCCATGTGGTCACATTCTGCAAATAATAATCCTTCATGGAGCCATAAATTGATGCGAAGGGCAAATAGTGACTGTGTCTTGCGAAGTATTCCAAATATGCTTCCAAGAGGGAGGATGTGGAGTTTAGCTGTGGCGAAATTTGGCCCTCCACACCATTTATCTCATGCAATGTGCTCCAATTTAATTATAATCATTATTTATTTACTCCGGAAGCTCGGATGGAGCACCATTTCACGAAATAAACCTTACAAATTGGACAGAGTATGTCGTGGGTAAAAAATACTGTATTAGAGCTAAAGTTTAAGTGGAAATTGTAATCCACAATACTTACAGTGGATTTTTCCACTAAATCTGGTTAATTAAAATGTTTTTTGAATAATGGTTTGAGATGTGTGTCACGATAATCATGAGTTTAACTATCTTACATGTGATTTTCAAGTATTTCGCAGCGCTAAAATACCTTGAATTAATTGTAGGTTTGCCATCTGTCGTTCGAAACTGCTCAGTGACTAATCAAACAAGTCATTCTGTGGAGATTCAGTGCATTCCTGGCTACGATGGAGGACTTCCGCAAGTCTTCGTTCTCGAGTTGGTCTCCACAAGAACTGGAAAACTTAGGTAAAATCCACTAATCTATGGAAAAAACACAGAAATTTTCTATATTTTCACATTTTAGATACAACATCACTAATACTGATGAACCTGTCTTCGTCATTGAGTCACTGGAGAGTCTCATATCCTTTGACTCCTTGGACGACCACTCGCTGCGAGTGATTATCTTTGCAGTGAACCAGAAGGGCAGAAGTCAAGGGGTCATCCTGAAGGACTTTCCCTTCGCCAATGAGCTGGAGAATCGATCTGGTAAGACCGCATGTCCAGTGATGACGAGTGCCAGCAATTGCAGTATTTGGTGAATTTTCGCAGTGGCATCCTTCGACACATCCTTCCATCTGTCACCAATTGTATTTGGCACAGTGCTCACCCTCCTCCTCCTCTGCTGTGTCATCGTTGGCCGAGTGTACAGCGCCCGGAGATCCCACAGCAACGACACACTCAGCAGTTCCAAACAATCTAGCACGTTGCTCTGCAAACAGGATCCATCAAAGGTAAAGGTAATTCAATCCCTCTGGCCTCCACGCCCACACTCTTGCCACTCGCCCAATGTTTATTATCATGTTTTCACCCATGAAACTTCGAGAGCCATCCCATTCACTTCCTTATTGCCACATTTTCCAAACTGTCCGCCAAACATAGAGATATACCGAGCGTAGAATCGTCGCAATTTTCCACAACACCTTTCTAATTACTTCCTGTCTCGTCGCAACATAAAGACGAATTTAAATTTTGGGACAAGAGAGAATCTCGAAGGAAATTTCACATTATATGGTTAAGGAAATTCCAGTTTAGAGTGAAATGAATAATAAAAATTGAATTTCTGCAGAAGACTGTTAAAGCCAACCTACGGTGGCAGCACAGTGACTCCGCAGCTAAGGAGCAGGTGATAAGTGGGACTCCTGGACGGGATGCTGACCATGCGGGCGGTCCTGCCACAGAGTCATACGATTTGGGTGACGACGAGAGAGATCCCGATGTCATTCCCAGTCAGTACGGTAGGTTTTCTGAAACTGTATTCCTTCGAAGTTTAGAAGGTTTAAGCCATTTTTTCCTTATCTCCGCAGTTCCTGACGAAATGGAAAATTGCTTGGCGTCAGAATGGAATCATCAAGATTCAATATTTGTGAGTATATTTGTATAGATGATAGGAAAGTAATTTCCTATGCAATTATAGCGATTAGTTTGCAAGTGTTTGTCAAGTGATTCTCACCACATTTCACGCAATGCTTCTCAATGTGACCCCTCATCCGACATGTGCTGCACATCAACACGGAGCGTGGATGCCGCGCAGATGATGGCGGAAGTGAAGGCAGACAGGCCAAAAATAAAAACAGAACAATCATTAACCGAATTCCCTCCACTAATTCAATCCACTTTGTCGATTTCAATCAGTTAACAGAAGCAATAACAGCCAGTGGACGATTGTGCGGTGTTACTCAGGATGTCGAAGGGGTGGCGAGTGCAGAGTTTGGGTGGTGACTTCAGTTGCGCGTCGATGTTCTTGCTGGTTGTACTTGGTATTATTGGTGTGTTTCCGCTGCTGTTGAGTGGGCTAATGAATTATTCAGAATGAACTGGTGTTCCCCACTGCAAATTGCTTTTTCCACAATAATCATTGTATTTGGAGCATTGGCTTGGATACTATGTCATGTTCAGACGAACAATCGATACCAAAACTTGATATCTTATGCATTTATTTATCACATATTTGCTGGTCAATTTGATTCAAGGAATTCCCAGAGGAGGTAGCCTGTGTGTGTGTGTGTGTGTCGTACAAAGTCCACATACTTTTCTTCCCGCTTCCACTGTCACTCCTTTCACTTGAGGAATTGTTCCTTGCTAAGACGAGTGAACTACAAAGGCGAATTGAGTGAAAGAATTTCCCCATCAATCTCTCGAGGATTTTGACTTGTATGAGAAATTTCAAAGTCATCTATCAAAAGTCAATTAGACGTGATTCTCCTCTGTGCAATTTCTCATTCGAATTGCCGGAGGATTTTCGTGTTGCTTCTCGCTTGTGAAAATTCTTTTCCCACGCAAACATTTGACTCACACTGGCAATAAGCTTATTACTAAGACACTCTTTTCCGCCAAACTCAATTATGCACATCTCTTGCAGAGTGAGAAGTACACCAAACACGAAAATCGACCCAAGGATCTCCTGCTGAAGCCACTCTCATCCACGGACTTTCAATTGATTGCCCCGACAAATAGCAATTACTTGCAGCATCAACATCAACACGACATTGTGCCAAATGGTGATTTGGATATAAATGTACATGCAATTAAAACTATGCTCATGGCGACACGAGTACCAGAGAGTTGTGTCTGAAAAGTTTCGCCTGCAGAAAGTTATTCATGGAAAATAGTCACCGGTTGAATTTTTCATTGATGACAACCCCCAGAGAAAAAATAGCAGTGCGACAGAACGCGATGAACTAATGAAGAAAAAAAAACCAGAGGACAATGATATAGATTTTATGGAAATATTAACAATTTTCGGTATCATATACATATGATTAGTTTTGTATTAACAGAGGACAGAAAACAAGTGCTTGAAGCACAAAAAGTGACTATTTGTACCTTCTTTGAATGGAAACACTGTATTTATAACAAGAGCAAAGTGTGAAACTAGAAGTTTAACAACTTTAGATATGCTGATAAGGAAAACGAAACTTATTGCCATACATCATCAAAAGAAATTATACATATACTTGACAACTTAAAACGACGGAGAATGACGGAAATATCTAGATAATGATAAAATAAATAAATTTTGTAGTATTTTATGAGATACCACATCAAAAAAAAAACTTCCTCTAAGTTCAGAAAATCTAAGGCGTATCAAATGAAATATTATGTGAAACTTGGATCAAAAATATATCACACAAATTTGTAAATATCAGGTTATATTGCAGTGGAGGACTACTGAAGATGCATTACATTTGCATTGGTTTTCTCAAATCCAATGAATTTAAATTTCATTTATGATTAATCGCGAAGGAGGCATTCGAATCAGCGTATTTCAATTCACAGTTCCTTCCTTTCGATGATTATATGGGGCTTCCGGGTAGTTTTCTTCAATCTCGCCACCATCGATTTTTAGTAGCCCAATTAAGAAAGTAAAACTGCCAAAAATCATCATAATTTTTTAAAAAGACTTTATTCAAAAATATCCCAACATATCTCTCGAAATATCAAGAATATAATTTGATTTTTAAAGGTGTTGTGATAGCTTTATTAAATTGCTAAGGAAACCAAAAACGAAGAATCATAACATTGTCAAATGCTTCCTTGTCTAGATATTTTGTCACTCGGATCAAAAGATGTGGGAAAAAACTGTATATAGAAGTTATTATATAAAACATAGAGAAGATGTAGATAATTTTTACTGTAACCGCGTTATTAATCAGTGTATAAAAAAAAACTGGAGCTCCTAAAAAGCTTATTTCTACAGACGAAACAAATCTAAAGTATCTCAGATCAGAATTGTTTCAATAAAATAAATGCAAAAGATGATAAAAAAGTGATGGAGTCTATTTGGCGGATTGAAAATAGCTCGCCTCCACAATAAACATGTTCCCCTTGGCCAATCTCCACTGTTGCTGGACATGCTCAATGCCATGAGAAATGGTATTAATTCTGGGCCTCTGGGCGTGCTGGGGCGGACGGTGTTGCTGAGGGTTGGTGTTGTGCCAAAATAAGCCAATTGTAAGATAATAAACTAATTCTGCTCCACTAAGCAGCGAACAGCCGAGAAAGAGACCGGCAATTCCGCCGAATGCAACTGCATTTCCCCAATTTGGGGAGGAAGAGAGACAGATTTCACTGGGCCATCGATCAATAAGTGGTGCAAACTCACCCATTAAGTCCAGCCACCCGAATGTCACATCCGTCCTGTACCGCAGCATCGTGGAGGACTTGAAGTGTATATCCAGAGCCACGGAATTGTCGGTGGTCTCCCTGCAAAGGCAGGCAATCTTCAAGCACAGCCGAAGGGAGTCAACAATTCATATTGTAATATTTACATGCCCAAATTCTCAAACAATTCCACACTGTAGTCGATTCTTGAGCACTCTGGCAAAGAGAGGAAGTTTGTTAGACAATCCCGTGATAAATATCTCTAGCGTAGTCGTGAAAATGATTAAACCTGGCAAACAGGGACACATAATTCCCTCCTCATTTACATCGAAATACTCATTTTCAATTGGTGGTTTCTCGTAATTGAAAATATCTGCGAGCGGGCGGGTGGCATGTAATTAAAATGGGAATGATAACAAATTAAAAGTAAACCACAGCATAAATTTTACACTTGACTAACAGTTAAAGTTGAGCAAATGCTTAAACATCCTCACACACTATATTACTATTATGTGGAGTAATTCATGCACAGCATGTCCTCGATTCGACAGAAGCTGCGAATGCTCACTTTGGAATGCTGCAAGTGCGCTGAGTGTATTCACTGACGATGTGCACGTCAATCTGCGTGAATTGCACGGTGAATCATCGCACGCTCATTGAGGACATGCTGTGCAAAATCAGAAAACAAGTAGCATTGAATTAGTTGGTGATAAATTAATTTCCAAATGGTGCATTTGTTGTCAATACCCACACGCAATTACCGTTGTATCGATTGAGGCACACGAGACCGCCAATATTGCAGGGCGCGTAAATACCTGAAATGGTACACAATGGGCGATGAGAGGTGGGCAACAGCGGGCCTGGTCAAGTGTGGGTGGCTTTCTTGCCAACGCCTACAGTCAATTTGTCATATGTGGTCTGAACATGAGTGACGAGGATTGAATGACACGCGTCCAGTGACTTATGCCATCACTTGCACCACTCAATAATTCATCACACTTTCGATGCCATCAATTGGCAAGGTGCGGATGCACGTCGGCGGGGTGTCTTCGCAGCTGGACACTCACCGGATGGGTAGAAGAAGTCGAGAGTGCAGTTGCAGTACGCCATCATTGCGCGCTGTCGACATTCTGACATGCAATTGGCTCGCAGATATGGAAGCGCTCGCAGCTTCATAATCTCCTCCCGATGGGAAATGTCCTCCTGGCATGCGGAAAAATTAAAAACAACACTCACCCCTGTCATGATTTACGCAAAGTATCCAACATCTTTCGAGATATCGGCAAACTTTTCCACTATACCATGCGAGAAACTGAAAGTGATCAGCTTTCGCGTAACTTTGCAAGGAGTCTTCCAATTTCTCAAGTATGTTGTTAAGGACCGAGAAGTGCGTGGGTTTTAAAATTAAATGGAAACAGTTAATTTATACCCAGAAACCCAATCTGCTTAAGTTCTCACTTTCGCGGGTTTTGAGAAAGTTTTCAGAGCTATGCGAAAATCGCTCCGCATCCTTCAAAAGGATTCATCCTGAGGTATTTCTCTTCACTTGCCAGCTATATAATAGTCAAGTGGCGGTGCAGAAAATGCAGAGTGCTTGCGGTTAGAATTTAGGGTTCACCTAATGGCACATCCAAGTCATTCTACAGAAAGCGAGTAGACAAAGTGCCATTATTGGTAAATGTCCTGCAAACTCACTTTGTAAATACATTGACGCTCAGTGGACGTTAATCTTCTTACATCAGATGATGCATAAAATGCTGTGGGCTGAATGCCAATGGACACGCTCGTTCCCTCAGGTATAAACTTCGCCTGCTGTGGCCACTCGTACGGATGATGGACTATTACCTTATTGTGGGAAATCACATTAGTTAATCGTACCTGCCGTTCTCACGTTCCACCACACAATCCGCGCACTCAGCCCAGAATTCGGAACAATGTGCAAATTGCCGTTCGCCGGACGAGATTTTCAAACGGTGGCAAGAGATTCTTCACTGTCTGCACTAATGGAATCTCATTAAAATGAATTATGGAAATGGGGAAAATCTTTAGCGTGAAAAATACACCGCGCGTATCATTAAATCTGACTATAATCCATTCAGATGGAATTTTCATTTACTAAAAGCCACAGTGTGGCTTCACGGAATGTCGGTTTATTGGACTTTAATTTCTGAATTTCAACTCACCAGAACTCCAACTGGATATGTATACCTTCGCACGCGACCATGATAAGATTGGATAACTCCTCGAAATCCGCTCCATTCGTTGTAGCTCGTCGTGCGCCACAGCTTCAACTCCTCATCCTGGCAATAAAGACTTCAGATGACTCACTTCATTTCCTTACCTCACTGGCTTTTGTGCGAAACATTTACAATAGGATGATTTTAAATAAAGTAAAAAGTAAACCTTTAGATCCGGCGTATAGAAAAAATATGAGGATTCACTAAAAAAAATTAAAAACATTGCTATGGCCTTATATTACTCATATAAGATTATACGTACAGCATTAATAGGACTCTCTTCGTTTGAAGCTGAATTAAAAGCATAGCAGATTCCATACTCGGTCTTTTGCTTAAAAGTTCGAAGAAAGAATTTATTATTAAATATGTAATGAAGTAAGTTTCCTTCGTTTCCTTACCATCTTGAAGATGTCACAGCAAGGAATGGATTTGCTTCGCCACCAGCACTCCTTAAACAGATCCTGGCAAGTGTAGCGCAACTGCAAAAACCAAAAATAGTAAATTCTTAGATCTAAGAACCTAACTTTACCGAAGATACTTCTATAATCAGCTTCGTTATGTTGATTCCCATGAGATTTGATATGTTTCTGGGTAGTAACGACTCAAATTCCTCGTAAGATCCGAAGTCCAGAATTTCCAGAGCATTTAAGAGGAGTTCGAAAGTTAAAATGTCTTCCTTGGTTCCGTTAGGCAAGTATCTCTTGATGGCGTCGTCAACTTTCCGGGTGTTGATCCTATGACTGTTGCAGATTGCAATGCCCGGAAAGGGAATTTCGCTGATGTGAAAGTTTGTGTCCTCCACAACAGTTGACAGAGGGCTGGTCTGGTATTTCTCCGAGAGCAAGATGGAGACGTAGATAACACCAAAAGTAGCCATGCCGACAATTATTCCCCAGGTCAATCTGTGAAAAAGGATTTTTGCAGGCAAGAGTAAATAAACAGACCATTAGCAAGACGCTGGCTGCAGGAACATCTCAATTGCCCCTGAGAGATAAAGTTCAATGTGGACAGTGTCGATTCTGGAGGTAAATTATGTTGCACAGAAGGCAAGAGCAGAAGAAATAATAAAGTTGCCGGTGATTTATTGGCACAGACCGAGAGATTCTCAGTGGAATCTCACCTCTCAGTCCAATGTAATCCCTTCTCCGATAGATATCGAATGCCATGGACGGAAGTGTTGTCACAGTAGCGGACGAAGATGCTGTCTCTCGTCTCATCCCTCTTCTGTTGTCTCGGCTTCTCGCTCCACAGCACCATCTTGACCGCCTTCCCGAACTTCTGGTCACTCTTCGCGGCTTTGGCGGGAAAAGTCGCCATGGTCGCAGGGCAACTGCGGCACTACTGACCCACTTGGCGACCTGTAACTCGCCGGGGGGGCAATCAAGGGGGGAATTGGTGACAGGTTTGACGCCAGCGGAGATTGCCCGACAAGTGGACAGCTGCAAATTGCTACAGGGAAAGCAAAGCAAATTGTTAAAGCATTATCCGGACTGACATATTGTCACATATAGCAGGAACAATGTATGTGAAATATTTCCCACAACATGAAAAAAAAACCTCCAGTGTGTGGAAATAATTGAATTTCCATCAAAATCACTCGGTGATTTATTTTCGTGGTCAATTATTGAGAAAGTATCACGCCACTTTTTGCTCCTTCGGCTGCAGTTTTAGTCATGCAAAGCATAGAAATCAATAAAATCAATACGAATTTAAACTTTGACAAAAATTTGATATGGAAACAATGAAAAAGGAATTCAATTAGCTCTTTGAAAATGGAATAACTATTGAAGTTTGTCAAAATTGTTTATTTCCCTCATTTCTCTTTATTCCGTAAAAATGTGATTATGAGTTCGACTTCAACCACTTCATCAGAGATATTATTTTATTCTCTGGCACATCTAACACTACTAAAAGTATACTATATTTAATGCTTTTCTTATCACACCGATGAAACCTAAGAAACGAAGCACATCCGGAACGTTAACAAAATGCTAAAATGAATCTTAATTAAAAATGTTTTCGTATCTATTTTTTGTATTGTATTTAGTTCATTTATTTCAATAAAATCGACATCAATTATCAGTTTTTGTAAATTTCATATCTTTGTTATCTTTATAAATTTCATTTGACTGGAAACTTTTTCCGGTTAGATTTTAGATGATTTTTTATGTGAGGTCTAAACTGAATCCTTGTGAAGTCTCTTATTATGTCTGTTAAGACTATACTTTGTAGCGTAGGCTTTGTTGCAGATTGTGCAAATACCTTTTTGTCTGAGATGTTTAGTCACTTGGCAATGGAATTTAACGTGATATTTCAGAGATATTAAGTTTTTCAAAATGTTCTTGCACTGCGGACACGGTTGAGGCCTTTGTGTGTGAATTTTCATGTGCCGCCCAATGTTCTGCTTGCTCTTGAATTTCTTGGAACACAAAGCACACTCAAAATTCCTCACATTGGAGTGTATAGTAATGTGCCTCAGTAGGCTAGACTTGTTCATGAAATCCTTCCCACAAATCCCACATTTATAGGACTTCCTATAAAGGAATTTCTTGTCTCGGCAGTTGTGGATATTGAAGTGTACTCCCAGGGAGTGTGCTGACTGGTAGACCTTCTCACAAAGAGGACATTCGTGCTGTTCTTCCTCCTGGGCATCAATCTTCCTGTAAACAAAGAAATACTTTAGCAAACCAAGTTGCTAGTCATCCTTGAAATCCATACTTTGTCACTAAATTTGATGTTTCATCCTGAATATCGTACTCCTCCTTAACAATTTCGCTATCGATGAACTCGTCTCTTGGCTCATAACAATCAGAATCTTCAATTTCCTTTTTAATATCCATGACTTGATCGACTTGATCCATCTTGCACTTGCACTCAGCATACGCTTGTTTCCTCCGGTGACATTTGTCGCCCAATTCGCTTGGCGCAAAAATTCAAATTGCGCATCTAGTACAATTTTCGCTCGCGCCCGGCGAAGTGTCAAACGCCCGAGTGTTTATCTGTGTTTTTTGGGGTGTGGAAAATTGCGAGAAATCGTGTGAAACCCAGTGAAAATTTGCATTTCCCCAGAGAATCAGCATGGCCAAGAACACTTCCAGCTCGGCGTTCCGCAAGATCGACGTGGACCAGTACAATGAGGACAATTTCAGAGAGGACGATCCAGACTTCGGCGGCTCCGGGGGGCCAGATGAGAACGAGATCAGCGGCCTGATGACTCAGGGGAAGCACTTCGAGGCTCTCAAGTCGGTGCTCCAGAACGCGCCGCTGGGCTCGAAGAATCAGCAAGTCAAGGTGCGGATTTGAGGGACTTTTGCAGCCAATGCGAGGCGCTAAAGAGTGGATTTCCTTGCAGGACAACGCTCTGAATGTGGCTCTGCGCGTGCTGCTGTCCATAAAGTCCTCCCAGATGGACGGAGCCATTGACTTCCTCGAGGATCCGGATCTGTTCGATGTGCTGATGAAGTACATCTACAGGGGCTTCGAGATCCCGTCCGAGGGCTCCAGCGGACACTTGCTGCAGTGGCACGAGAAGGTCTTCAACCGCGCCGGAGTCGGAAGCATCGTCCGGGTGTTGTCGGACACGAACCGCGCCTAGACAGGCGCCACGGGGACATTTCTACCTGTAAGACTTCATGCAATACACATTCGATTCATCAATTTACAATTCCAAATATTTATTGGTGGCGAATAGGATGTCCAACAATGTTCATTTTATACCTCGAAGAATGGATTGATCTAAAACTTGGGAATGATGCCTGAAAACTACAATTACAATTTCTACATATTCTCACTGTTTGCCAATTCTTAAGCGCATAATCCTAAAAATGTCGTTGAAAATGCAAAAGCAAAGGGAGAAACTTAAAAAAAATCTACATTATTACATTCACTAATTGTGATTTGGTGAACAAATGCATGATTCAACAAAGACTTTTTTTTCTTAATGATTTGAAGAACATTTCGAGAGTTTTCCTTACACACTGCTCTCTTCTTCACACATTCTCTCTTCAAAATAGTATGCAATTTACAAGAAAACAGGAAGGAAAAAAACAGCCACGTGTTGATCTACCTTAAGAAAGTTGTCGCACTTGTCAATAAATAATTTTTATATCTTATCTGTAAATCTTGTCATCTAACAATTAGCATCAATGCATTTTCCCTCCAGATTAAGTGTATTAATCGCGGTTTTCTAATCTTTTTTGTTTCACTTTAAATTTAAAGGTAAAATATTCTTATAGTGGTTTTTATAAAACGCCTTCAGCAATTCACCACATGTGCGTCTCTCGAATCTCACTTATGATGTGATTCGCCCGTGTGAGAGCCTGCAAAGGAAGAATTTCAGTGGTCATTGAGTCTTCAGAGAAGGAGGAAAAGGATGAAAAGTCCCACCTTGAGCATGTCTGCGGCCTCACGACGGCGAATTGCTATGTGATCTGACTCATTCAGCATCTCCTCGGCATTATCGGACTTGTACAGGTGAGTCACCAGCTCAGACTGCAGATTATCCTTGACGTAGTTGACCAGGAAGTGCATCACTGCCTTTGGTACAGAATCCTGAATTGATTTGCGTACAATGTAGAAGTACGACTTGATTAAGCGCTCTGGAAAGAGAACACAAGATGAATTAGAGTTGGCAGAAAGGACTCAGGAGGATCCTTCGGAGACTCACCTATAATATCGCAATCCTTCTGCTCCTTGTCTGTGAGTTTGCGCGCCGGATGGTTGATGGGCACATCGGGAAGGAGATTGACGGGCTTCAGAGGACTCATGGCGCTGGTGTGTGTCGGTGTGTTGCCACTGGACGCCATGGGACTCTCCGTCTTCTGCGCCTCCTTCTGCGACAGAATATTGGCCAGCCAATTCTGCTGAGTCTCGCCCACGTGATTCTGCTGCGCCGCCTCGTCATTCTCCACGTGATTCTGCTGCTGAGCTGCCTCTCGAATGGCATTCTTCGCCAATTCCCGACGATTGACACCCTTCTGCGTGATCCACGGCTCCACATTCTCGCTCTTCATGAGGCTGGGCACCAGGGCGGCCTCCTTGTGGAAGTCCGGATGCTTCGTGTTGATGTACGCCAGCTCAATGGCCACGAGGTTCTCCACCATGCAATTGGTGGTGGGCAGACGCTGACGCAGCAGTTGCGTCACCACGTCAATGATCTTCTCGTGGAGCTTCGGGAAGCGCAGCATCTCCTGCTGCACCTCCGTGCCGCAGTGCTGGATGATGCGCTGCATCTCCTCGTGGATCAGCTCCACGCAGCGCAGCGACGGCTCCTCCAGCCGGCGGATCTGCCGCTTCACCAGCAACTCGAAGGACACCTCGGGCACGAACAGCGCCGGTCGCGGCCCCGTGGCATTCCGAATGGCCGTCAGGATGTCCATCTTCGTGAGTCCCGTGAGCGGGTGAATGGAGTCGAGGGTGCGCCCGAAGGTCTCGTGAAAGATGTAGCATATTCGCGCGCCTCCGCACAACTCCGTCGTCTCAATGTTCCTCGCCGTGCCGTCAATTGTGGCACAATAGGCGCTCGCGAACTTCGTGATGATCTGCAACAGAGTCTGGCTCTTGTCCTTCACATCGTCACCATAAGACGACAAGAGGGACTGAAACTGCGACATCATCACATTCACGCGAGTCTGCAAAGAGAGTCAAAGTTAATGTGGAATTTCTATTTCTGTCTTGGAAGGTCTTCACTTCCTCAAACGCGATTCAATTCCCAACTTTGCATTTCAAATCTTTCATTAATATTTCATTTATTGTCTCATATTTCGTCATTGCCAAATCGCGTCCCATTGTTATCAGCCGGCAAAATGTTCGATTGCCGCAGAGATCGCAGCGCAAAGTGACGCAAGAAACAGTCGAAATTCTGAAACGCCGTCAATGAGTCATTTTTTCGGTCATATTGTCGAGATGGTTAAAATAGAAAAGAAAGTAAATAATCGCCTTTCACACAAAACTTCAAGATGTTCACTGTTTAAACGCGATCCGCAATTTTTAATGATGGTTTATTTCACTTCTCAGCGAACACACTTGGCTGAGAATTTCATCGCGCTCGAGAAACTGCTCGCAAAAGTGCTTATTTCAGCTCAAATTCTGAGCACTTTCTTATATGGGAGCTGCTCGATTGTGAGCACTTTGACTTAGCAGTAAATCAGCTGAGAAACACGCTGATTTTTAGGCTAATGTGTTCTCTGGGTTCGTAAAGCTGCTTTCATGCAAAAGTGGTGAAATGTTTCTAGATCTCTTAAGCTCCCCCAATGCAAAGAAAAAGCTTCCAATCAGCAAACTCAGATAAGCTCACCGCTTTCCCCGTCATTGCACGCAAAAATCGGAGCGCCCCAGAAAGTGAGGAAGTTCAGCGACTCGCACGCATTGTTGACTTCTTTGTGCTTGAGAGACAGTGAAATCGTGCTCACCTTGAGATCGGGCAGGCAGTCGCGAATGTGGTGCATCAGCAGCCTGTTGAGGGTCTTGGCCAGATAAGGAGTGCCGTTGCGCGTGGCCAAAGTGGGATACTTTCGCTGCAGGAAGGCCGCTTCGTCCTTCAGCTGATCCGTGATGTTCTTCTGGTCAATTATGTCCTGCTGCGATCTGTTCACCACGCCAATGATGCCCAGCTTCACTGGAATCACGCGTCCGCACAGAATGTCAATGGCGTCCGTGCCGGCGTCCATGAGATCCAGCTTCGTGAGCACAGCCAGCGTCCGGCGACCGTCCGGATCGCACTCCTTGGCCAGCTTCAGGCTCTCGCTCGTGGCCATGTCCGTGTTGGCCGCCGTCACGGCCAGGATGATCGAGTTGGGATTCTCAATGTACTTGAACAGGAGCTCCTTGATCTGCGCCTCGATGTCTTCCGGCTGGTCGCCCACGGGCACTTTCGTGATGCCCGGCAAGTCCACCATCGTGAGATTCACCACCTTCGTGGAGTAGATCTTCAGGTTGATGGGCTCCGGGCAGATGCCTTTGTTGTCGCCCGCCAGCTTGTCTGTGTCCGACTCAATCTCGCGCCGGATCTCATTGAAGTCGGTGAAGATGCGGTTCTTCACGTGCAGAAACTTGCCCCATTCCTCCACATTCACCGTGCCACTCTCGGCCGAGCGGTGCTCCCTATCGTCCAGTGGGCAGTACACGAGCTGCAGCACCAGCGGCCGCCGGGTCACGATGCCCGTGCCTCTGGGCAGGAACGATCTGCCCACGAGGCTCTCGATCACGGAACTCTTGCCGGAACTCTGGAAGAGAAGCCCAAAAGTCCATCAGCACAACCCCTCGGGAGAGCCTCCCTTGCCGGCGGAGGCTTCTGCCGGCGAGCGAGTTATGTAATTTGGGTCGGGACGCAGAGGCAAAGAGAGCCATCGAGGAGCCAATAAACATGGTTAGAGTGCGAATGCTTCACCTGACTTCCCAGCACCACAATTTGCGGCAGCTGCATGAGGTCCGAGCCCACTGTATTGAACACATCCTGCAGCTTGTTGATCACGGGTATCAGAGCCTCCATGGTAGCGCCCCAAATGCCTCGCAAAACACCCTTTTTCACAAAGAATTCTCAACCAAAAAACCTCAGAACGAATTCCTCAAGCGAAAATCCACTGACATTTGACAGCGCCGAATTTTTACGCGTATTTTACTCCGACATTCTAGTACTGCAAATCAACGGTTTCTGTTTTTTTTCCTTGCCATAATCAGAAATTCGCTCCTTTTTCTCGGAGAAATCCCTCATTTTCCCAGAAATACTTCGTTTTTTTAATTGAAAATTATTTATTTCATAGAGTATGTTGCGTCATTAATAAATTAAATAGGGTAGATATCACTATTATTTACAAAAATAATGTATGTATGTACAATGTATTCCTCAATCGCCATCAGAGTGCTTCGAGAGTATGACACAGTTTCTCACTTGCGCCGGGAAATCGTGATGAATCCACTGCGGTAGAAGTTGGGCACCAGAATGTGGTCACACTCGTCACTCTCTCCGGGTGCGTTGAGCTGGCGGACAGCATTGGCGATTTTTCCTGCCGAAGAAAACATCAATTAGCCGACTTCTAATGAACTAAACTCGCCAATTTTAGCCGAAGAAAACTCACCGACTACATTAAAGGTGTGAAAATACTTGTTGGGAAGATTGACGAGACCCCTGAGACTCTTGCTGGGATTCCACCTAATCGCGATGTCCGTCAAGTTCACCTTGATCATCTCAGGAACTTTCTTCGAAGGCTCAAACTGCAATTCAGTGCCAAAAAGTGTGTCATTTTAGAAGAAAAAGGCTTAATATATTGACTGTGATTTTTACTACTCACGCTAAACTGCAGGTCTTGGGCACTTTTCTCGCAGGCAGCTCGAATGGCATCCATCAGCTTGCGATAATCACAATTCTCCTTGGCGACGTGCACCAGGAAGTCGGTGAGATCCATCTGCCTGAGTGACTCCTCGCCTGGGCGACTCTCAAAGTGGCTCCTCAGCACCGTTCGGTTCACCTTCACGCCCAGCGTCAGCAGACACTCCACCACGTCCTCCTCCGTGCAGCCCACCGACGAGAGCTTCACCACCTTCTCCGTGCCGCAGGGCAAGTCCAGGTTCAGTGTGAGCAGCTGCCGCGCCTCCGGAGGCGTTGGGTGGACACTGGTGAGCTGTGACTGCCACGGGGAGAGGTCCGGCGGCGTCTTGGGGCGCTCCAGAGTGTGCTTGGGGCATCGGCGCGCCTGTTTCATGGGGTTTCGCGACGTCTCGCTGAGGATCTCCAACTCAGAGCACTCCAGACACACTTCCCGCACTTGCCTGGGCGGCTCCACACGCGGCGGATTCGGGCTGCTGAGCACCACAGGAGGCGACTTCTTCTGTCTGGTCGTGGGATTGGCTACAGTGAGTTTGGGCTTGGCGCCTGTGTTTCGTTGTGATAATTCTGACGACTCCGGATCCGCGCTGTCAGCAGTCTTCTCAAATTCCACCGGCTGCTCCAGATGATGCAGTCCATTCAGCGGGTGATTCTCGATGAAGCCATCGATCTCAGGGAAATAGCTAGTGTCCGGATAGTTGTCCTGCTCTGAGCTGGGCTCCGGATCGAAGTCCATCTCGAGGAACTCCAGGAAATCCGTGTCGTCCACCAGCGCCTCCTGGGACACCCTCATGGGCGTTTCCATGTGCCCACCGCGATATGTATACACGCAGTCATCTGAGTTGGACGAGATCTCGTCCTCTGACAGCAGATTCCCCGCCTGGGCCGCCTCCGGACGCTCGCCGTTTCCGGACAGCGCACCCACGTCGGCCGCTACCTCGCCATTCAGATGCTCCGGCGCGATATTGTTGTTCTCACTCTTCTGCCCGGTCTTCGGGAGGTCGCATCGCACGCAAATCTTCTCCTTATTGTCCGCAATATCCATTATTTCGTGGTTTTATCGCGCATTTCAATTCCGATCGCGTCCTTCGCATCGAATCCACCGCGTAGGAAATAAACGTGAAAACCCACCTATAAAATCCCTATCATTGCTTTTCACTGCGGAATCACACGACTTAACTATTGCTGATTGCAAATGAGCACTTTTGGGCTTAACCAGTGCACTTTTTCTGGGTTTTTACGCACAATTATCAAAATAACACGGAATATTTTTATGCACGCAGATATGTTTGACAGCTCTGTGGGACACACACGTCAGAGATACTCACCACCGTGGGACAAGAGGTGAACAAGAAGTGAACTATAAAATTACAGCTTGCAATTTTTGCCCTTTTCCACGGATTTTCGCAATGATTCGGTAATTATTAGTGCGATAAGTATCTCCAGTGCATCGTAGAAGTCTCCTGGCGTGATATAATTATATGTGTAAGCTTCTATTTGGAGGATTTCACCTCGAGAAATTCCCCTCTAATCATCAGCGCTTATCTGGTTTTCAGATCACTTCTCTGGCTTCAGTTTTTATTTATCTCTCCAAGAAGACGGAGGCAAAATAGTGCGAAATACTTAGTGACAACACCCACGCGACAATTAGTAAAGAATGGCACTGCATTTGTTGAGAAATTCAGTGGAGAAACTCGGCGGGACGTCGAGGAGTCTCTCGAAAAGCATCTTCACGAAACCCGGTAAGGAATTCTCATACTTTCCCTCAATTTTTCCGTCCTCAATTCCCCAAGGATTCCCCCTCAGGGACATCCAGACATCCTCTGGCCAGACGAGTGTGGAGATTTCCAATTGACCCTCCGTTTGACTTTATACAAAGAGTTGAGAAAATGGAACAGCGACTGATGGGAAGTCGTGCCAGAATCTATAAATATTGTAATGTTTATTCTGGGCAGAATAACACATAAATTGATCATTTTATTGTGTCTCTTGCGGAGATTTTGAACTTGCCATTGCCATTGGAATACTGGGAAAAAAGACTGGGAGAGACGCAATTTGCGGTGAAGTGCATTTGAGGCGCAATTGTTGCATCGGAATGTCTTCAGTCAATGAGATGCATTCGGTCATCAGAAGTCAGAATGTCTGATGATGCGGTTAATATTTGCTGAGGTAATAAAGCTAAATGGTGTGCGAATTAAACGAATTGGCGAGTCTGTGGAAGGGCCCATGAACCTTCAGACAAATCATCTCGGCTGAAGCGCTCAATTGATCACGCCAAGTGCTGATGATCCCAATTGAGAATCCAGTGACGCCACGTCGTTGCTGTGCGACTCCCACTTGGCCAATTGCCCAGAATCTCGGCGTGTGCCTTTATTTTTACTTCCTGGACTTTAACACACTCTCTCTCTCTCTCGGCAGTTGGACTTTCACCGTCCATCCATGTCAGCGCCCAGAGAGACTATCCACAGGCGGCCGAGCTGCCGCTTCCGCCCAACATTGACGCCGCGGAGACCATGAGATTCTCGCCGCAGCGCGCCAGGGACATCTCCAGCACCGCGATGGTGTGCCACGAGTCCATGCAGGTGCACAGCATGGACGTGACGCTGGACAACGAGCCGCGGGCGTCGGATCCGCACGTGGAGCAGTACGACTGCTCGGGCGCCGTTCATCTCAACTGCTCGATGCAGAGCAACGTGCCGCAGCCCTTCAGCGGCGGCAGCAAGTCCATGCATCTGAACATGCCGGGCGGGCAGTGGAGTCAGTTCAGCAAGTTCACGGCGGCGGATCTGCAGGATCATCACTACATGAGTCTGCGGCGCGATCTGAAAGGTACGTGCGGAGGCAGGAGGAGCTTCTTAGCGCCCATACTAACCCAGTCAGTGCATCAGAATGTGCATTTGCTAGCGCCTCTAACGCATGAGCGACTCATAGCGCGATTGTGTGCCACCAAAGAGGCTCCGGAGGCCACCAAGGAGCTGTCCAAGCGGGAGAAGCTGAAGATTGCCGTGAAGGATTACGGATCCACTGTCATTGTCTTTCACGTGACCATCTCCCTCGCCTCCCTGGGCCTCTTCTACCTGCTCGTGTCCAGGTGAGACTTCCGAATGCGATTGTTGAGCCTCAGTCTTCGTCATTCATTTAATATCACTTATTCTTATGCATAAGATTTTTGCCCAGGAATTAGGAATCAATTCTGGATGCTCTGATAATTTATAATTTGGCCAAATGTTGAATGTACTTATCAAAAAAACTAAAGTAATCATTCAATTGAAAAATACTAACCAGAATTGATCCCTCGAGCGATTACAAAGTCAGATTCTTCACACTTTCTGCCTTCTCATCTTGCAGTGGATTAGATGTGAAGCAGATCCTGACGGCGCTCAACTTGGGCGACTCGGCGCTGTCGGGAAAAGTGGCCACGGGCGCCAGCACGTTCGTCGTGGCCTACGCAATCCACAAAGTCTTCGCCCCAGTTCGCATTAGCATCACACTCGGCGCCACGCCGTTCATCGTGAGGTACTTGCGGAAGCGCGGTATTTTAAAGGTCAAGAGCAAGAGTTCATAGCTGAGCTTCGGCGACATTTAACAACTGTATTTTCGGTGAAAGCATATCAATATATATATATTTTTTAATAAAGCTGTTTATTCCGTATCCATAGGAATTGTGTTTTATTTAATCGATTGGGTTGTGTTCGCGTGAGGGAATTTTCTTAGTGAAGGAATTGTGGCTTGAAGATGTCTTCGCCGCAGCCGGGAAAGGCCACGGAGGCCAGCATGGTGGCGATTAACAAGAACATCGTGGAGCTGAAGAAGAAGATCCTGCTGGCGGAGGGACAGAGGAAGGCGTACAAGGGTGAATGGGAGGAGGAGCAGAAGGGAAATTCGGAGAAGATTGCCGACCTCAAGAAGAACATCAAGGAGCTCACGGTGAAATTGAAGTACTTGAAGACGAAAAATGCCCAAAAGCCGCAGAATCATGAGACTATCAAGAAGCTGGAATTGCCGCCAGGAGCGAAGAATGCTGATGACGCCGTCCACGTGCTGGATCTCAGAGTGATTGACCTGAAGAAGCAGACAGATCTCGTGCATGATCACTACGTGAAGCGCCAGAAGTTCTTTGATCGCCTGGTGGAGGAATATCAGCGTCTGTACGTGAGTAAGAACAAGCTGGCGTCCGAAAACTCCGTCCCGGCGTCAGAGACTGTGGAGGAGGATCAGAATAGACGCCTTATTTGCCATCTGGAGAATGAGATTCACCGCACATCCGTGCAATGGATGGAGGCGGAGCACATCAGGAAGAAATACCGCGCCATCAAGGCATCTCTCATGACGGATGCCGAGAACTTCGAGTCGAATCTGCTGGAGCTGGAGCAAGCCATCACGGAACAGCAGGCAGAGATCGATAAACTGCACCAGGTGAATCAGGAGGCGCTCCAGATGCGTGACTCCACGAAGCTGGTGCTGCAGAAGCAGGAGCAGGCGGCCTCGAGCTCCAACAGGGCCAGAGAGAAGCAGGCTCAGGACTTCCGCAGGCAAGTGGATGAGCGGAAAATGGAGCTGGAACGCCTGGAGCGGAGAATCTTCGCCACAGGGAAAACACTGGTGCATCAGGAGAGTGCCGGATCGGGATCTGGTGATGCTCAAACCGGGAAAGGTGCCCACGATACCGATCCCAGTGCTCACGCCAAGGAGAGCACGAATGCGATGGACTTGGCGTTCAGGAAGCTCATGGAATCCACAGGAGCCACCGCGACTAATGAAGTTCTGGGACGTTTCCTGGCGCAGCGCGAGGCCACAACGAGATTGGCGTATCTGCGCAATGTCACAGAAACCTCCAAGAAAGATCTGGAGACTCAGAGGGACGCTCTCTCGTCGCAACTGGATGAATTCCGCTTTGCTGACATCAAGGAGAACGAAGTGAATCAGGAAGAAGTGGAGAAACTCAAGACGAAGATCGTTGATCAGCAGAGCAAGGAAGTCGCTTGCGATGGCGCTTCTGAGCACACTCGCAAGGTGTCTGGGTCGATCAAGGAGGGTCTCTTTGAGTTGCTGATGAAACTGAGGGATTTGGATGAGCTTACAGATCAGAACATTTGGAAGAAGACCACGGAGAACATTGATAACTTTGACTTCTTCACGGCAGCATCGATTCCCAGTGATTTGCTACTGAAAGTTCTGCAAGACAGCCTAAAGATGGTGATGAAGCTGCACGGAGGGCAGGAAATTGACCGAGAAGTTGTGGAGGAGAAAACTGACGAGGCCGAAGAGAGATCCATAGAAGATCTCTCAATTCCTCTGCATTCGCCAATTCCGCCGGAGGAAAAGGAGAAGCCAGCAGCTTTTCCCGCTTGCTACACAAATCTATTCGCTAATCGTGGTACTGGCGGTCAGACCACGTCCATTTCTCCTGGTCAGGCAACGCAAACTAGTAAGTATTCCAGCTGGAACTGAACGCCGTGGAAAATGATTTCGTGCGGATCGCGCGCTTTCTGAGAATTCACTCAATATACCATCATTTTTTCTTTCTTTCTCCACAGTCACTTCGGATGACGAGGGTGACGTGCCGTCGCGGCACTACTTGAAGCGTCAAGCGCAGCTCATCATCGACTCCAAGTCACGCAGGAAGGGATTCCGCGTGCAATTGCCGCGCCGGAAGTAGACATGAGCGCACTGAGCATTCGCAAGGCGTCTGAGACACACATCCAATTACACTTTATTCACTTTTACAATTACGTTACTAGAGTCTGCGTTACTGCTTGGTTCATGTTCACTGTGTGAGATTATTTCTTGCTATCCATCAATGAGCTTGAGTATATTGAGTTCCCTGGTGAATAATCCTAAATCAGAGTCTATTGCATTGACTGCAGAGTGATTATCTTCACAATTTATGCCTTATGTACTCTTGTGTGTATAGTAATATTTCCTCTTCTGCCTCCTCTTTCTCTCCGCCCCGCATTACACCTTTAAAATACCTACACTTGTTGATTATGGCTTAACATTGACGATATTTTTCATATTCATCTCTCTATTTCCCTTCTTCGCCACATGAAAAAACTAAAACAATTGCTATTTTATATTGGTTTTCTTTCTGTCTCCCTAAAAAATGCATTCTGTGTTGCTGTATTTCTTCATGATGGGTTTTCTTGCTTGCAGTTTTTCATCATAATAATCAGTTTTTTTTCTTTAGTTGTTACGATAAATACCACGAATACTTTTGTTTGGTTTTCTCACTACAGATAAATTTCACTTAAAAGTACATATCTTTTTTCATATCTTCTTTAAAATATTGCACATTAAATTAAGCAGTGTTGTGTTATCTTCTCATTCACTTTTCATTATACCAAATATTCTTTCATTATTTAACCACAAGATTTTAATCAGGAAATTGTACTTATTGGTGAAAATTACACAAATTTCTCCGCAACGCATTCTTCTGAGACTGAGTATTTTTACTATATAAAATTTACCGTCTCAAATACATTTTCTCTTCTCCCTTTTTTTTGTTTTCATGAGTATTTTCACCCACAGAAGAAATATCGAAAAAATAAAATATTATAAGTCTCCAGAGTAGGAAAAAAAGCTAAGCAAAGTTCAGAAGAAAGACAAATACTTATAAAAATCAATACGAGAATTATTGATAAAATTCAATAATTGAAATTTTCATAGGTTTAGTCAACAAATTAATGCAACGTGTTTATCCACTCTCTTCTCTCTCACGCTAGACATTAATTCAGTAAGTTTCCTATTTGATTAGTAGACGTTTAAGTTATATCTTGTGTGTCCATCAATCTGCACTGTGTTGTGTAAATAATTCGTTGCATTACATTCATTGCATGATTCTTTTTTCACCCTCTCATCTCAATCTAATCATATCTTCTTCTTTTTTTTAGTGATAATTAGTAATTCCTACGTAGTTTTCAATAAGTTTGCATGTTTTTTTCTTGACTAAATCGATAATGTTATGAATTCCCATCTACACTTTCTCACCATTGCGCATCATTTCAATCACTAAGAAAAACTGCATCAAAAAAAGTGCAATTCTACACCTATTCAACAAAAGGAGTGGCTTTCAATAAACTACCAACAAATTTCACCGTTTCACTAATTCATCATCATCTAACATACAATAATTTTCGCTACAGTGATATTTTTCTTGCCAATTCATCATGTAAATAAATTATTTATCCCCTCTTCTTTTTTTTTCAATCATCATCAATACAAACTAACGTAATAAAAATAGTTCTTTCTCTTCATGTGTTTTTTTGTTTTTTCTTACTTATTCTTGTAGCATTTTATCATCATTTTTAAAAATATACTCAAATTCAAGAGACAAATTAATCCCTCTCAATAAATATGTATATAATTTATCCTTATTTAAATATTCACCTCTTGTAAGTTCTCTTGCCCTCGCGAGGTTTTATATTCTCTGATATCTGCCACATTGCGTCCTCGTCCAGGTAGTTCTCGAAGTTGTCGAAAAAGCCAATGATGTGCTCCTTCTTCTTGAACGGATACGAGCTGCAAAGAGTGAAGAAATCACCAGTCAATATCTACAGGGCAAATCAATCTGCCACCAATATGTTACCTCTTTTTGAATCTCTTCATATTCACAACGATATTGTACTGTTGCCATCGTTTCGAGAAGTTAATGATGCCCTCACTGAGATAGTCTTGATTCCCAATGTGTACAAATGTCAAGTCTTGCAGCACAAGCCCTCTGAAAAATGATGTTTTTGTTGGTCAGAAGTTGCAATTAAAAATTGGCCAATCACTTTAGCAAACAAACAAAGTCTTTATGAATCTCCACATGCAAAACCATCTTCGCGAAGATTATTGAGTAATTTGCATTACTCAACTAATACTGGGTTATCTAATTGGGGATCACGTCTCGATTAACACGAGGCATTTCATCGTGCGGAGATTCTCTGCTCTGAGTAAATGCCAAGTCTTCTCTCTCAAAACTCACATGTAGGGAATGCAGGGCGGCGTAGTCTCTGCCAGCGCCAATCGGTAGGCCCGAAAGCTGGAACTGGGATCAATGAGAGCGCAGTAGTCCTTCAGACTATCCGTAATTGTCTTCTGCCACTCCAGTCTGCCAAGGAACAAAATATCACCCTGAATGTTGACCACTTTACAATTATTACATTTACAAATTTTTACCTTCTGATAAGCGCTGAGTCGAGAGCTGACAACAGAGCCAAGTAGGAATTGAAATTCTTAATCTTCCTCAAATGCTTCATGATCTTGATGAACTTGATCACATAGCGTTCGCGCTCTTTGGCATCCTCCTGCTTGAGAATCTGCGATCGCGCCCAGTACGACATCTTATTGAAATGCTCTGTGAAGCGTGTCAAGTTTGGCGATCGCTCCTCACATTGCTCCTGTGCCCAGATCAGCACTTCGGGAATTTCAATCTTCTTGAACAGATCCGAATCGAGGAGCGTCATCTGTTCGGCAATCTCCACGGACTTCAAGTCGAGGAGAGTTGGTGGATTTGTCGTGACGGCCCTTGATGAAAGTGTCGAATAGTACGGCGACCACTTGTGTTGCTTGTACATCATGACTTTCTCCAAGATTTTCACTCGCAGCAACTTTGCCATTGTCAAGTTGCCATTGCAGATCAATTGATGGGCGAAATCCACCAATAGATTGAGACAGTACTCCTCAATGTCAGGTATTCTGCGTGAGAAAGCCATTATAAACTCACTGTTTTGTGGCTCAATCGAAAGTGCAACAAGATGAGAAACACTCACGTTAGATCATTAACAACACGAAACAGCAGCGCGAAGGATTCTTTGGCCGCTCTCTGCTTCTGATCACCAATTTGGCAACTGTACACATTGTATCGATGTGTTAGCTTCTCGATGAGCTGCAGCGGTGTCATAAATGTCCGGAAAGTCGTGAGAAAGGCCTCCCCGTAGGCTGAAAAGCAGCAGACATCATTAAGTGGAAACTGCATTTTTCGCAATAAAAAACACACACACAAATCTCCAGTCATAATATGAAATCAACATCGTCACACTTGCATGAATTCTCAAAAAGCACTCTTACCATTCTCTTTAGCTTCATCTGAATCTTATATGCATTGGGCAAAGCGACACGGCGAAAGAACAGGAAATTACTCGGATGTTAATAAATCAATGCACCACAAATTGCACAGCAAAACTCTCCAATATAAATACAATAAAATACAGCAAAATGCATACTAACCATTCTCGAAATTCTTCTCCACTTTCGTAGCATGAATGATGAGGGCATCCAAGTGGCCACCTTTGACATCTGGCCCGTCCTCGCCCTCCTTCTTGAACACCAAAAACTGCGCGATGCTCATCTCCTCGATCAAATCCAACGGCAGACTAGAGTTTGAGCTCATGCTCTCCTAAATGACAAGAGACGTCCGAATGGTTAGCATAAATCCACTCACTTTGCATGCTTCTTCACACCTTCTTGTTGCCTCATCAAAGTGAAAGACACGACTATGCTTTTGGAGGATTATTTGAGTACACTATTTGATGACTTCTTTACTCATGTGTGTATCTAAAGATCGGCCATCAAATCACGTCATGAGTTATAAAGTTCAAAGATTCCTAAAACATTTTTGCTAAACTTTATATGAGCTATAGCCGACGAAAGAAAGTAAAATCTTCAATCCTTCACTGAATATTGAATAAATACCATCGCGATCACCTTTGAATTTGCATGAAAATGCATAAATTTCACATGCAAAATTCAAGACGCATCGTGAATGCCTCATAAATCAGTAGAGATCTCTTTAGGGCATCATTACACAGCCTGTAAATTGATTTCTGCCATGTCACAAGGCACAAGACAATCACATCTAATTAAGTTACATAAACACAACCACATAATCATGTGCCTTTCATCGATGATATGGGCTTTCACTTTGTCAGCAATTTGTCACTTTATAATATTTATAAGCCAATCCAACTCACCTTCTTCTTGTGCTGATTCCTGCGCAGGACCACTTCCTCGTCTGATGTCTCCTCGTTGCGCGCCGAATTGCTCAGCACCTCAGCTGATTGTGTCTTATCGCTGTGACTCTCATTGAAATTGAATAATCGCTGAGCACTCGCGTCTTTCTGATCGGTCACTTTCACTTCCACGCCCGCCGGACAGTTGAGATGTGGATGGAGCGTCGCCGATAGCGGTGGCGATAGTGGCGACGGAGTCTTCAGCGACTTGCTGCCCGGCGATAGCTGAGGACCACCACTTCCACCGCCAGCCGAACACACCACGGACGGCGTCGAGACCGACGGCTTCTGCACTCGCGCGCCACTCACGACCCGCGGACTCTGTGGTGGGGTGTCACTGTTCACGGACGTCTTGCTGCTCAGCCGCGACTGCTTCGGCGGCAGCGCCGGCGGTTTCTCCACCTCTTCCTCCGTCCGCACCAGCAGCGCCGATGAGGACGTTGTCACCGTGACCGAGTGATTGCTTCCAGCGCTCAGCGCTTGAGATTGCATGCTCACATGATTTATCGATGGCATCATGCTAACAAGGAGAAAAGACAACAAAGAGGTCAAACATATCTTCACCTCGAGCGTCATTGAGTTGACGAAAAAAAAACCACCAGTTTATGCAGATAAGTTTCGCGATCCCCGCGCACTATTAATTGGTAGCAATTTTTCTTCTTTTTTTCTTCTTCTTTCCATTAGAAAAGCAAGACACTATTATTCACCTTTTAGCTTTATGCCTTCTATACAGACATTTTCGCTGAGCGTTTATTGTGTGTAAAAATGTAATAAAAGATTTGTTGCTCCAATTCAAGGAAGAAATTAAGACAGAGTTGAAGAGATTACAGATAAAGATTCTACGAATTGTTCACAGGTTTGCTTGGGTGAGGAATCTTGATAGATACTATTCTATAAATATATTGTAGAGTTTGCAATCTATTTTCCAATTGAAGACTGATTCCTTCTCGAAAAAACTCTGAAATTTTCATCTATTTTCACAGACAACAAACACTCAGAATGACCAGAGAAACAACATGAAATTTTGTCAACGTGATATTAAGTGGAACTCTCTTAATCGCAACTCTGATTCAGCGCAAATGTAATTCATACTGTTCTCACGCATGTATAAATGTTTTTTCTTGAGGAAATTAAAAACACAATTGTTACCTGACAGAACGTTCTTGAAGATTGGCACCTCGAATTCCATTCCCACATATTTGCTGCGAGGCATGAGTGCAATTTCCAAATATCTCCATGTAAGCCATAACTGCAAGAGAAACACACATTACAAAGGAGGAAATTTCATATATAACATCTATAATAGAGCAATTATTTCGCTTGACTGTCTGTCCAGTATTTTATAAGCAGAAAATGTGTAGATTTTAGTGGAACAATATAAAAAACAAGCACTTTAGTGCAGAAATAAAATACTATAGTGTGAATTTATAGTAATGATCATTCGCGCCTTCGCCGCATTAATTGTCTCTTTTCCATTTCTATTATTGATTGCACTTTGTGGATTTATTAGAAGAAACATTTATGCAACATTAATTCATTTATGATAGGATCTTATAGTCTATCATAATTTTGAATTCAATAGAAGAAATTATTAGAGATAAAAGGGAGTGTTTATATGCTTTAACTCTGAGATTTCTTTTTCTCTCTAGCTCATGGCACACAACACCACATTTTCTTGCGCTATATATTCGTCTAGATAGAAAAATTAGCTAATAACAACTCTAATTTATTGATAATCTCCACTGAGTGCACACTCATTGATTAATTGGTGATATAAGCGATATGTGAAAGAGAAAGAAAGAAGAGGAGAAGAAGTGTAACCTCATACCGAATGCATGTTTCAAGTCAATCAACATTTAAACCACGCAGCAGACAAACATGTACTTTCCGATCACATTTCACAACAATATATATATATAAATACTTCATGCAGACAAAAGGTGGTGGGAAAACAACCAGAAAATATATACGCCATTATAATATGTATCAATAATTTCTATGAGAGAATTATTGCCATTATAGCCACGAATCCAAATTGCAGTTTTGCAAAAAGAATTATAAAGTGTGTATGAAAAACAACGGGGATTTTTCACCCTGACTTCTTTATGGGAATTTCTCGAGTGCATCTCTTGCAGAGGGAAAATATACTTAAGTATATTCACGGTAACTCATCGAACCACAACGACAAAGTGCTTGTCTTTTGCTAAGAAACTGAAGAACTCTCTCTCTCTCTCTATTTTGCTACCTTTCGCTATGGATTTATGATGACTAACATTGGTGCAAAAGCCATGAGACAATTGATAAATTGCATCTCCTTTTTTCTCTCTTTTCACCAACAATATACATAAAAATAACAGTTCATTTTGTCAAGCTTCGCGAATTTCTTTCACTTCCACGTTTTATTCAACTCTTAATTTCAATGCAATTACTTAATTCTCTCATGTAACCAAGAATTTCCATCACGATATTTTGTCACACTGAATTCATTCTAACATCAATTCTCTTTCAAACTGATTTTGCACACATTACGATTAACAGATTAATTGAATCATTCCGGAATATTGCAGCAAATTGAGCATTTGCCACATTTGCATACGCAAACTCATTAATTTTTAATTCACCCTGAAATATATATATTGTAGAGTTCTCATCAGAAGTTCTGTTATTCCACTTAATATCCCATAAAGAGCGTTCATAATTCTCAGCGAAATGGTATGAAAATCTCGCTGAAAGCCTTTTCATCGTTATTCAATTGAGAATATCTTGCATGCCTTTAGAATTTCTTTTCTTCTTACAACAGCTGAAGTGGTGTGGAGAATTTTTCTAATTTATTGCCACATTGGAAAGAAGGAAAATAACCGCGAAAGGCGGAAATTAATTTGACAGAAGAGAAGAAAACAGTGTGGAAACAACAATTATAGCATCTATCAATTCACCTCAACTCTTTTCGCCAGAAAACTGCGCCCTGCACATTCTTAAGACTGCAAATTTCGTAGACACAATAATTCTTTCATTGTCTCTACTGCACAATAGAGTGATGAAAAATTCAATTTTCCGCAGTCAAGCAAAGAATATCTTCGCAAAAATATTATTGTCTCTTCTCATCAGGAAGTCAAAGGGGTGTAAAAACAATCCACATCGACTTTTCATATATATAGAGAGTGTCACGTAACTCAGCCAAAAGCATAACACGAAAAGAAGCATCTCCAAAGCCACTTTCATCATTCACTATATAAAAACAGTCGATCATTGACTCTTCTATGACGATCTTTTTCTTCTTCGTTTGGCCATCTCTCAAAGTGGCCCAACAGAAATAATACAAGACAATGCTGAATTTCTTGTGCGTGTTCTCTTTGGGTAGATAGTGAATTTTTGTTTTTTTGCTTGTGATTCGTGATTCTCACTTTTTTCTCAAATCACTTCTCTACAACTCACCTGAATACGCCACACTCTGAAACACTTTACGAGGGAGTTGTAACATAATGAAAAAAGTTATGAATTAGAAAAAGGAAGGTATACAGATATTATATACTTTCAAAAAGTGTTTTTCTCTCTCGCTGCCGAGGTGGAAAAAAGGGGAAATAAATGAGGAAGAATCATCACTACACTTCACTCACACATCTTGTGAGGACGACAGAGAGATTTCTGCACACTCTCTCAACTCTTCGTCCTCACAATGTTTCGGGTGAGTTTGATATTGAAAAAAAAAAAACAGTAACGAGGAGAAACAACAAATATCCGGAAAGGATACAACATTATTATCCCTATTCGAAAAGAATCACATCACATTAAGGATGAAAGTCCCCAACCAAGAAGGAGAAGACATATTTCAACTCACTGTGCTTCTTCTTTATGGGAAGAGGCGGCGGCTTCTCGTCTTGCGTCTCGGCGACCGATTCGTGCTGCAACTGCTGCTGATGGAACTTCTGCAACTGGCGAGGCTCAAAAACACTCTGATGCCTCATAGTTGTGGCCGCAAACGCTGCCGTGCTGTGCTGATGGTGCTGAGATGTGAACACGGCTGCTGTACTTGTAGTTGATGTGAATTGATGCCTGAAACCGTGGAAAAATCTCCATAAATATTCAAATGAAATTCAACTCCACTTGCCTCAAGTGTACACCAATTTAATTTATAGCGCTCAATCTATCACAAAACCAAAAAAAAAACTTCACCCAATGTGTGTGTTTGTATATATTACTGGAAATACTTTAGATACTTTACCACCAGAGCAGAGAAACAAACAAACACACTTTTCATACCCATTCTCACTTGACTCCATCACACATTTTCGATTTTGCATTCAATTGAGAATTGCATTTTCCATTGGTTCTTGACCTCAAATCTCTATACAGTCTTCAACTCTTAACATATTCACTTTCTCCCATCCATTCTGCGACATGTAACACTGTCACAAGTATTACAACTAGTCGCTGCAATTCCAAAATAGCTGATCGAATGGATAGCCTAGTTTTTATGATCATACTAAAGGCAAAAATCGAGAACTAGGCGAAATTCCTGAGCTTTTACAGACTAATATGAAGGAGGAACAAAACAAATAACTCGTCTTCCTAGTATTCTTTCCAACCGAGTTACAGGAATTCCGCGAAAACCCCTTGTATTTTCCCCACATTCATCTTCACTACGCCACTGCGGAGGAAGAAAAAAAAATTATCAAGGCGATCATCCATTAGATAGAGTGAATAGTAAATCTCATGAGCGAAATCACCGCTAAAATAGGAGAGAGAACACGTGAAAAAGCACAGTAAAAATTAAAATTAATTCACCACATTATAAGTGGTACAAAAATCTCATTTGTTGCATTTTAATTAACAATCGTTTTTGCTGCAGCTTTGTAGCAATTATTTAATCTTTCGGAAGAGCAGCGCAAATTATGTGTAATCATTTGAATTCATGAATTTACCGTGCAAATTAGCGCCTCATTTGCAAAATTGCCATCATGATTAGATCACACAGTTAAAGGGACGTGATATTAGGGTCGGAAGTGACGCAACAATGAACTTACTTGGCCCCTTGATGACTGTCACCGCCCGGCATGTTGTCGTATATTGATTTGTGGCGATCATATCTGCCGTGGATGCTGCGTCTGGTCTTCTGCGGCAACTCCGGTGGCTGCTCATCGTCCTGATCGTACGACAGTGTCTCCGACATGCCGGCACTGTCCACACTGTCTGTCTTGCACATAAAACTATGCTGCTCGAACTTATTGAACACATTCTGTGTGAACATCTTCTCAGACACACATTCGCCCCCAATCAGCTCCTGTTCCGCCGATTGTGTCCTGCTGCTGCGCGTCACCATGTACGACTGCCCTGAACGCCGCACGATCGGCGGCGCGAAGTCATCGGCACCCGTGATGGACAACATGGGCAAGCTGTCCTCGAACTCCCGACACGGGGACGACGAGGAGGCGCTATTCGTGGCCAGAGCCATCTGATCCATCTCCAGCAGAGGCTCCAGAATGTCATCCTCACGACTCTGGTTGAGCGCCGAATCCAGCGAACCCGCACTGGCACTCAAGAGACTAGAATTGTCCTCAGGGGACTTTGAGCGCCACGAGCTGCGCTCATTTGTGGTCGTGGGCAGCGTGAGATCCGACGCCGTGTCTGAATCCACGAGTCCGGCGCGCTGTTTGGGCTTTGGCGGCAATGGCGGGGGATCGGTGAGTCGACTGGGAAGCGGAGGCTTAGGCGGTGGGCTTGTGTCTCTCAGGATGCTCTCCGTGCTGTGCGAAGAGCGCACTATGCGTGACGATTGTTGCTCTAGAATGTCCCTCTCGCGCGGCGTCAGTGGAATATCCGGCAGGGATGTTCTCTGACTGGCCACATCGATCATCGGACGCTGCAGTGTGTTTGAAGACGTCCGCACGACAGGAGATTGTGAGGAGGAACTCACCCGTTCCGTCAATTTGGCATTGGATACCTGTAATAGATTCTCAAGCGCCGCCTCCATCAATTCCATTACCTCCTGGACATTGTCAGGCTCAATGGCAGCGCACGTCTGCTCGTTCTCAGCCAGCAGCACCTCGTCACAGAGCTTTATGAGGCGCCCCAGAGACGCATACACCTGCGTCTTGGCGGAGATCAGGGCGTTGCTCTGCTCATTCAGCCCGTACGCCTGCAAGGCCGTGTGGACATTCGCAATGGACTCCAGCACAACCGTCCCATTGCCCGGCAGCATCTCCAGCTTCCTCTTCGATATCACATCTTTGAAGTGTGTCAGGGAGTTCTTCACCTGGCGCACATGATAGTTCAGATCATGGGCAGGCTTCGACGCCTCCTCGACGCATCCCTTGGCCGACTTGTTCCGCGGACTGCTCGGCGAGGAAGTTCTGTAAAAGGCAAACACCCGTCAAATCTCCTCCTCAGCACAAATGCCACACATTCACCACTCACCTCGTCATTGTGTTCGTCGGTGTGCGAATCTGGGAGATCTTCTCCAGGAAGTCATCCTTGAAGGATCTCGCTCGGCGTGCCAGCTTCGTGCCACGCAAGCTGCCTTTGTGTCCCGATGAGCCGATCCCTGAGTGCATTCACGTTCACAGGCGCGCGGCGCGACAGTGAAAGCGAGAGATGGAGAAGAGAAGAGACACACAAATCCCATCAATGATCAACGGTGAGGATATTTTTGGAAGCGTCTCTCGCACAAGAGCAACACTTCTTGCGCTGAGAGAGAAAAGCCATGAGATGGAAAATTGGGGGTCGCACCCTTCCAAAGTCCACACACTTTTCGGAATGCGGCGGTTGCCCACAAAAAGTTATCACAAAAATGTTTTTGCCAAAAATATTTCAAGCAGTTATTTGTGGTCCTAATGCAATTTCACAGATTTCATGTGTTTAGGGGGTTTAGGGTGCGCAAGCTGATTTTGAACATGTCCAGCCTTATTCTTGTCCCTATTTTATTCTCGTTATTCATGAATAAATATTAATTTAATAGAGAATAATTTTTGAATAGTAAAATGTTTTATTCTTATTCGGTTATTCCTGAGAATAACTTATAAACATCATTTGTGTTGAATAGTGGTTTTTGTGCTCTTATTCCATTTATTCCAACTATTCTCAGATTATTCTTTCTTTATTCTCCGCTTATTCTTCTCATTCTTCTACTTAATCTCGGCCGATCGTGTCCACGGTTGGCACTTGCGCACCCCTTCTGTGTTTATCCATAAACACTTCCTAATGTAAGTTAGTGTTTGTTTACAAAAACAAAATACAAAAAGCAATATTATCCAGTCTGTGTCATAAGTGAACTAGATAATTAATTAAATTCCTCATCGTTCAATTATTAGAAAAAAAGCCTCCATTCATCCCATTTGAACACCCCTTTCAACACACTCGTGTCTTCTGATGAAAGACATCGTCTGTGCTGTGAATTTCGCAAAAAAAGATTGGCACAAAATCAATTGTTGTTTTTTTTGCGAATTCCCGACGATTCGCAATGTTTGACCGCGACAAATTTGTCGCTCTCGCACTCCGCGAAAAGCAATCAAACCCAAAAATTACGAGCAATAAAACGAACGAGCAGGCTTAGAACAATTGCTCAGTTCTCGCGATGGATCAAAACTAAGTAGCCTTGACTTTAATTGCCGCCGATTTTGCAGCTGGCATCGCCGCGCAGGGTGCGAACTCGCTCACAGAGGCGAACACATGAGTCAATCGGTGACGTCACGGCTCTGGGGAACCCACTGCGCCTGCAGGGACATTGCATTTCCGTCCAGATGAGATTTCGCCCCGCACAGAGCAGCCCCACTTGCGGGGCTCTCCGCCCTGCTCTCACAGTTAGTACACGATTACTCGCAAGACACAGGACTTACGAATTTCCAACAGTTTCACGAGATTTTTCGGTGGTTTCCTCACGAAATCGTAGGACGAGCGCCTCAATTGCTCATTTCGCGAGCAAATTGCCAGGAAAGACTCGTCAAATTCGGGCATTTCTTCGAGATTCACGGTGTCAGCGCAAAGTCGCAAAACAGCCAAACCCACCCAAAACACTCCCAGTCTGAGCCAAGTGGCCCACCGTCTGCCCAATAGCACCGCGTCGGTGCCCGAAAAGGGCCAATATCGCTCAGAAAACAATCCCGAAGTGAGGAAAATTCATCACTGAAGTGAGGGGAGAAAACTTTTGTCAAAATTTTCAGCCCGAACCACCCAAATTGCGAGCACTTTTCCATCACCTACCATTCTCTATTTTATTGCTGTTTTGTGTTATGGACATTGTCCACCGCGTTGAGGAACACTTGACACTGCACTACACCACCACTTTCACCCTTATCATACACTTTTTCGCACTGTTTTTATTATCTTTCCTCCCTGAAAGAGGCAATCTCGCACTCACCACTCGAACTCCACTAATCAATTCAATTCACCACTCGCCATAAAGTCGATATCACCGATTATGGCAAGTTCCCAATCGATATATCGCTGGGTTTTTGTATTTGAATTGCTATCAGAGTTGTAACGTTGTAACTGCGGTTCGTAAATGTCTATTAAAAAATGTGATAAACACATTTGAGGAGCAAAGAGATATATAATTATATTATGTAAATGTACAATAGCATTATCAACATCATCTTAGCAACATCTAGAAATTCTGACGTAAAGAGATTGCCTTTTTTTGAAAATTATTTCAAACTTAATTTTTAGAGTGAATATTTTAGAGATGAGAATGGCATTGAAGAATTCTCAAAAAGAGTCTACAAAACATCTTCAGCTAAACGTTCATTTTATTTTCGTTAGTATTTTCCAAGTATTTATTTATAAGGAAAATTAACAAAACAAAATAGTTATCAAGTGCTTCTGATAATAAGAAAATATTGCTTTGGACGTAATTTTCAGTTCCACATTTTCCCATAAGATTCAAAATCATATTTTCTTGGCCAATTTCCCCTCCAATTTCAAATTATTTTCAGGGGAGTTTCCCCTGCGGAAAGAGAAATATCACCCCTTGTTTTCCAAGCCTGGAAGTGGGAGAAATCGTATTTACGGACGATTTTATATCAGTGTTCTTCCACATTTCCAGGCCTTCCCCAGCTTTTTCCTTCGAACATCACTCCTATTCTTAGTAGTGCATGAAATTTCCCCTCTTTTCTCACATTTTGCCGTGTTTTTCACAGTGCACCGCAGTCGAAGGGATGTTCAGAGCTGATGTTTTGCCTCTGGATTGGGAAATACATTTCCAAACTGGGCGCCAGGGGTGGCGAGGGAAAAAGAGTGTTTTGGGGTCACCGATGATTGTTTCACTCGATAGCCTGAGGATTCTCATTTTTCACTTTTATCTGGGTATTTTTGATTTATGCCCCACGATAGTGTTCAAATGTGAATTTATATGATATAACAGCCCAACTGTGAGGCAACCATAGGCAGTAATTGAATGTTTATCCATCGCCAAGAGATGCTCTCTCCGCAAGGCGCCAATTTGCGGATGGCATTCATGCACAATCTCTCCTGGCCACTCTGTCCATAGAATTTCCATCACTGGGCAACCGATTGATGGGTTTTCACAGTGAATTAATCTGCACAGAGGCAGCGAATTAAATGAAAATGATTGTTACTGTGAGGGACAATATGGCGATTAGCCACATTAGGGGATGATTTGAAAATTCACAGCTCCCCAAAAATGATGAAAACCGTAACGAAATTGCTGGTGCATTTCTCATTTATTACTGTCCAATCATTCATCGGATTTTCCAACGTATGTGCCAATTACTCTGTTCATTTGGTGAAAAGTTGGTATAAATTTGGAAAATCGATTCAGAACTTGTGGATTTGAAGTCAAAAGTCTCGATATTTGAGTGATTTTCTGGTGCACAGAAACCACAAATCGCTGAAATCTTGTATCTGTTCAGTAATCAACTCTGAGATTGAAAAATCGTTGGGGCGGAAAGGTCGACAAAAAGTGGGTTATATTGAAGGAAATCTGCATTGTTGGGAGGAAATTCGAAATATCAAATTTTAATTGTAGCCAAACGGAAGCTCCCACTTGTGAGCTAATATGATTTAAATCACCCTCAGCCGAAATAACCCATATTTGCGTGAAAGTTTAATGAGGTCGCCGGCATTGTGGTTAGAATTGATGACCACTTGGGGCTGTTTGAGGAGATGTGGTGGCTTTGCCCGCCCTCACACTGGGAATTCGGGGCACTCATGGCCTTTCGGGGCGGTTAAATTGATCGGGAAACAAAGTCAATGGACCACGGAATACAAAATTCAAATTCACTCAAGGATGTCCGACAGGATTTAAGTTCAATTCCCCGAAACTTGGTTTTCTGTGCATAAGCCAATTTTCTAGGACACTGAATTGTCAAATTTGTGTAAGATTTTATGCAGAAGCTTTGGCAATTTTTCATGTAATTATATTGGGGGCGAAAAATAGAGTAAAGTGAAAAAGTCTCGTGAACCACATACGAAAGAGACTAATACACTTTTCGATACATGACACTTTGCATGACTTTGGTAGAAGTAATGAAAAGTGTTCAGGGAAAAGTTTCTTGCTCTTCTTTTCAATCGAAGCGACATGCCTTTTTGCACAGAAAATGATTTATGGCGGCTATTTTGAAATATTATATACTTTTCGGGTCGATTTTTATAGGAAAAACAGTCGAACTTTTCTAACTTTCTTATTCCCAAAAGCACTCTCTCGTGTATCGAGAGCGCATGCAAAAGAGGAAAACAATTTATAGCATCTGCCATAATTTAAAATCTTCATCCCATAAACTCTCTGCTAGATTTCCTATGCGGTTTCTGCCAGAGACGCGCATTCAATAGGAAAGCGTTTAACAATTTAATTGCGAAATAAAATGGCAGCACCGGCTTTTAATTCCGCACAGAAAGTGCAAAAATCGAATAATTTGATCCTGTAGCAAGTGTTCTTTATGGCCAATTCATTGTATGCGCAGCGCCAGCAGGAAGAGTCCATTGTAATTATCCCTGTCGGAAGGCATCCTTTTTCGTAGACTCTCCTCTTGTCTCCCGGCGATACTCCAAAGGGGCCCAGCAGACGCCCGCCACCCCCTTGTGGGGGAGGGTGAAAGTGCGAGAAAGTAATTGATGAAAGCACTTGTGACGCTCTTCAGCGACACAAGTCGGAAGACGCAATGATGGGTCCTTCGACGTCTTGTCGATCCTGTGGCACAATTTCATTTTCAATGAATCTCCAAGTCGCAGCCGCCCCCATAAATGGGCTCCTCTGTGCTCCCTCGTGGTTCAATTCACAAATAAAATAAAAGACAAGGTGGATGGCGCCAAAAAGGCAAGAGAGGAAAAGTGTGAATTCAATGGTGTGTGGTGTTTTGTTCGCATGGCGTAGTATCGGATGGAAAATGATGTGGGAAGGAGGAAAATTGATTGAAAACTCTTTCCTCACCAGGACAGGTATGCCGAGGGGTGGGCAACTAATCGATTGAGTGTTCAATTAATTACATTGTGGTGCAATTAATTTGGAAAATCTCATTACAAAGCCGTGCCATGAGCGAGGCGCTACAATCTGAAGACACTTCAACAGAGAAGCTTTCATGGATTATGCTCAACCGTTAGCGATCACATTGATTCTGTGTTGATTTCACAGCAAGTCTCCTTAAGTATTTTATGGTCTTTTTCACTAGTATTTTCCCACCTTTTCACAGTCCTTCACACAGTCTTCAGCTCTTCTCCAGTGACGGGAAAAGTGGCGAATAAGAAAGATGATATACTTCACTTTCTGTCTATTGTGAATTCACGTGTGAGACTTAAGAAGGTGACTTCAAGAATGTGCTCATACCTGATGGCAAAGGAGGGGGTGCAAAAGTGTAACTTATGTATCAAAGATCTCTGCGAGAAGATATAGCTCAGAGAGAGTTGACGATTTTTAAATTTAAACCGACTCCCCGTAGTTTTTACCACCATCGCAGAGGTGGATAAAACTACGTCGCGGGGAATGGAAGTAGACAGTGTGGAAAACTTGTATAGTGAGTATAATAAATTCCAAGAAAGAGTGCGAAAATTGTCCTGAGGTACATGCAGAAATATTATAATTTTTGCAATATTCACACCCCTGGAAATTCTTTCTAACATATGCGACGAGCTGAGATTTCACTGTTGGATTGAGTATTTTATTGTTCTGAAGCATAAAAGTGAGTTAACGAGTATCAAAGTTATACTTTAACAACACGTGAAAGAGACAAGATATAAAATTTTAAACTCCCCCAGTATATAAAGTTTCTCTCACATACAAGATGAATCATTTCACTTTGCTTTCCACCGTACTATGTTCACATTTTTTGCTTTTATTTATATGAAAAAAGGACTTCCAGAATATGCAGGAGAATACCTTAAAATGAATTTTAATATGCATTATCTCTCTGCAATTTTGTTGACAACTTTTTGTGGTGTTTTGATGAAAAATACCTGAATAATGGGAAACAATACTTTGACGGAAAGAAGTGAGTGATTTGATATTTTGACACGCTGTATTCCTTGTCAACTTTGTGGCGAGAATTATGCAAATTTGTCAGTGTGAATGTGAATCTGTGCTTTGCAATTTGATCTCAAATTCTCACTAATACTGAATAATTGAATTACAGTCGCAACACCCGATGTCTTTTCAGAGGCAGAATGGTCAGAATACGATGCGCCCTCGATGGACTCTCTCGCCATCTCCCCAAGAACAAATATAGGTGAATTTCTCTCCAGTGCCAACTTGCTGGCATTGAATGGGGCCTCATTTGCTCCCATAGGACACAAACATCCAGACAAGTTGTTGATTTGACCAAACACCAGCCATTGCCGCTCACATTTCTCCGCATTCATGCCCCAAGAATTATAGGATAAATTCTATCCGTCTGTCCGGGTGAGTCAAAATTCACCCCGAGGCCATTGCAATTCCGCATAGCATTTCGTCGATTCACATCCAATATTGCTGGTTGTGAATGCATGTTTACCGGCCACTGAGATTCGAGCAATAGGAAATGCGAAAGAAAAACTTTAAATGCTTTGGGAAATAGAGGATCAGATTTGCAAATCTTGAAGTGTTGTAATGTTTTTCTTATGGCGAATCCATACAAATTAGTGGACATGAGTTGTTGTAGAGAAACTCAGCAATATTAACTCAATTTCATGCACAAACTTTCAGCAGTATGTAAAATCATTTGATAAAAGAAAAGATATGTGTGTAAACTTCTTAGCACGTTGTCGTGCACTTTCGCTGTATGTAGATATCTCCTTCATTAAGGACATATTCCTTGTCGACAGTGCAGAAATTAGTTGTGATCTCGCAGAGTGCACGCTTGTGTAAACGTCAAGTGTTGAGTCATATCGCTTCTAGTTCACATACGTAAACTTATTAGGGCAATTTTCCATCGAGACATCCTCATCATCGT